ATTGCATTAGAATAAAAAAAATACAAACAAACAAACATACATACATACTACATACATGCATGAATACATACATACATACATACATACATACATACATACATACATACATACATACATACATACATACATACATACATACATACATACATACATACATACATACATACATACATACATACATACATACATACATACATACATACATACATACATACATACATACATACATACATACACACACACACACATACATACATACATACATACATACATACACACTGATTAGAGATTCACTTTAACACTTGAAATGTTCTTGCTACTAAATGATGAATCATCAGTACTTATATTTCAATTTTGCCTTATTTTAAATTATAAATTTGGTGATAAGCTAAAATGATAACAATGATGAATAGGATAGTGCTAAATGATAATGATTAGTGATGAGTTAAAATGATGAATTTTAATGTGATAATGGTAAATGTTGAAAATTGTATGACTATTGTAAATAAGGATCATTTTAATAATGGTATTTTATGCTAAATACTTACTGTGTAGTGAATATTTTTGACATTTTAAGGTTTGTTTGTGTCTCTTTTGGCTGAATTGGTAAATTCGTATTGTTTTTTATTTAATGTATATTTATTTTATTAATGTTCATGTTTTGTTGTACAGTGAGTTAAACAGTAAACTACAAGACAAGTTAGAGATGATAGATGAGGCACTAGACGTCGCCCTATCTAAAACATGCCAAAGGTTTTACTCGTTTTTATTATTTTAATTTAAAATATTTTAAATTATAATTTTTTATAATATGATATAATCATATTTATAGTTAATTATTTATTTATTTCTTTAATTCACTCCTAAACAGCTCTATTTTTATTTATATCTGCTCACATGTTTAACTCTCCTTTCTACCTCCTCTCTATTTTTTCGTTTTCTCTCTCTCTGTTTCTCTCTCTCTCTCTCTCTGTTTCTCACTCTCTCTCTCTTTTACTTTCTTTCTCTCTCTCTCTCTCTGTTTCTCTCTCTCTCTCTCTCTCTCTGTTTCTCTCTCTCTCTCTCTCTCAATTTATTTTATTTTTTTTATTGCAGATTTGACAATTCATATTATTCAAGAATACAACAGGCCTATAGGCTTCTTGGAAAAACCCAGGTTATTATTATTATATTATTATATTATATTATTATGATTATTACAATTATTAATTCTTTATTTAATATTAATTAATTATTATTGGCGCAGGTTGCGTCAGACCAGTTACACATGCATTACATGAGTTGCATACACAACATAGCATTCAATAAGGTCCTTGGCTATGTTGAGTTGTGCTCTGGCAAGGGAGATGGATCGTTCCAGAAGAAACAATTCACTGACTTGTGTCAAGTTTGTGTCTTTGTTGTTTCTGTTGTTGTTGTTGTTGTTGTTTGGATTTTGTTGTTGTTTGTTGGGATTTTTGGGATTTTGTTGTTGTTTTTGTTTGATTTTGTTGTTGTTGTTGCTACATGTTATGTTAACAACAACTTCATTCATAATCAGCATCAGAATTTATAACCGATGATTACATTTTTTGAAATCTACAAGGTCAAACACAACAAACAACAACAAAAAAACAAAAAAAAACGACAAACAAACAACTACTACAAACAGTTTATCAAATCGGAGGTCTTCATGCCCTGTTTGATTGATCTGTGCAAGGCTCTCTGGCAGGTTGCCCTCTGCTACAAGAAGACTCTCGACTGGCACATCAAACATGACAATGAGGAGGTCTTTCTTCTTAGAGGTCTGCTATTATTTTCCGACTAATGTTTTTGGTCAATTTTATTGTAATTGTTGTTATCATCAGCATTATAAACGTTGTTTTTTAAAGGGATTGCGAATTTTTTGAAAACTTTTATCAGCCTACAAATATTATAATGTGAATAGTTATGGCGTTGAATATTGTCATTCCAACAAGTTTAGAACACCTTTATTATTATAAAGACTATTATATGGACTATCCAAACAGCTGCCTCGCCAGCCAAGCCGACACCTGGAGCCAGCAACCACAACAATGTGACGACGACATCGGCCACAACAACGTTACTTCCGTCTTTGTACGGTAGTAGCGACAACAACAACAGCAGCAGCATCAGCAGCATCAATAACAGCAGTACGGATAACATCATGCAGTTGGATATCTCGAGCATTCAGTACATTAGAAACAAGCTGGAGGTCGGAAAGACGAGATTATGGGGAGAAATACAGCAGAAGGTTTGCAGCTACTGCAGCAACTACTGCAGTAATAGAACTAGCAGTAGTAGCAGCAGTGGTAATAATAGTAGTAGTAACAGTAGTAGTAGTAGTAGTAGTAGTTTTCTTTAAAAAAGTTATCAAAGTTTTGTTTGCCTAATTTGTTACGCTGCAGTGGTTACATGCATTTCCATTGCAGCAGAGCCCTTGCAATGAACAATTCCACATTCGCATCATCATTACGACAGCAATATTGAAAGTCTTTTAATATAATTATAATTATTATTTTTACTTATGTTTATTATTTATAATTATAATTATTATTTATATTGTTATTATACTATAAAGGTAAAGACCTACTTACTTGCCATTGATTTGAGCCACTTTAAGTATGACGTCTTCATCAGAGTTCTCGATGTTACTAACAGGTCCTATAAGTTATTTCGTTATCTCATTAATTATTGTTATTAAATTATTATTATTATTAAATAATTAAATATTTATATAATTAAAGGAGTTATTCAATTTTGTGCTACTAGTTTTTAAAAAATTTTCATGAAAACATATGTTCGTTGTGCTATTATTATTGGTTGTTTTCATTTGCTCATTTGTTATTATTATTATTTATTATTATTATTTATTATTACAATTATTATTATTTATTATTACAACTATTATTATTATAATTAGTTTTATTGTTATCAAGGTTAATGAAAGTGGGTGATGAGTTTTGCTCCAGTCACTCAGAGGGTCTCAATGAATCAATGCGCAAACAGAGTATCAACTATTTTAGGTAAATTAGGGAACTTAGGGATGTACTTTTGAAACTTTTTTGAATAAATATCAGCGTTACATATCTTTGTTTATAAAAAAAAATGGGTAGAAATTTATTCAATGCATTTTATAGAATGTATTGTTTTGAGCTCATAAGCATAAGTTGGATAATTTCATGAAGTTTTGTGGTCATTGTTTTCTAAATGTTTTTTATATTATAATGATTCATTCATTCATTCATACATACATTCATTTATTTATTCGTTCGTTTGTTCTTTCGTTCATCCATTTGTTCAACCGACCAAAGAACCTACCATCAATCTCGTTTGGAAGAACTCCGCATGTTCATGCACAATGAAGGCTGGGAGGTCTGCCCTGTTAAATGTGGTTTCAACATCTTCATGTTACACGTAAGTTTTTGTGTGTGCGTGTTTGTGTGTGTGTGTGTGTCTGTGTGTGTCTGTGTGTGTGATAAAGATGATATCAAGGCTATGTATGTAAACATGTAAATTCGCTCTACTGAGGTGTTTTGATAATCTTCAACAAATCAGAGCAGTTAGACGCCATTTGACATTTGATTTTGCAAAACACTTACTTACAGTTTTGTTTGCAAAGCTATTGTTTACTGCCACCTAATTTTATGCATGGAAGTATATGGAATGTAATCTCACCTGGATTGATCGCCATCCTACAGGAGTTCAAGTTTTTCAAAATTTCCAACACGTCAACCTCCAACATTCCAACAAACGCCAGCTTTCAAATCGTACCTAACCTCTCCTACGTTTCAAGCACTCCAGCTTCTTTCTCACTCACATCCACCCCATACAACATCAACAGCAGTAGCATTAAAAACGACAACAACAATAACAACATCGTTGTCGTTGCTTCATCCGTTACTAACTCCTACAACAGCAACAACAACAGTACTGCTGGTGGTGGTGGTAGTACTGGTAACGATGGTAATTCTCTCCTGCAGAATTCATTTGTTAAGTATTGCGAAACCGGAAGTCCGTTTGATATTCAGCTCGATGAGGATAGTAACGAGGACGTGATGGAGGAAGATGAGAAGGTGATGATTATGATGGTGATGACGGTGATGATGACTATGATGATGGTAATGATGATGGTTGGTGGGTGGTGACGATAATCGCATGGTCAGGGTCACATGACACAAAATCACATGATCACTTGACAGAGAGTAGGAAGCATGGAGAGCCAGCTTCTTCACAACAACCACCTGCAAAAAGATGGAACCACATCAGACAGTGATGATGATGTGCCCGACGAGTTGAAGCAGCAGTTTGTTCATGAAGGCACTGGGTATGTCCATTTTTTCAAAAACCAAATTTTTTTTCTCTGAATTTTATGCAAATTTTTAAACTTTATTGTTTTCTGTTAGTGTTTTTTAATGTTGTTGATCGTTTTGTCCATCATTAATTTCATTTGAATTTTTTGTTTTGTCTTTCAGTTTAATTAATATTTTAATAAAATTTAGCTTACATATAATTTAGATTTTAAAATCTACTACTATACGCTATACAATGAGATGATTTTATCTCTAACTGTGTGTAAATCAATAAAACCAACGATCGGGTACTTGCTTGTGTTAGTGTTTGTTGTTCTCAAGTTTAGAAATTCCTGAGGTGTAATTATTATTAAATTTTATTTTACAATTGGTTTTAAATTAAATTCACTCTTTGTATTAAAATTTAAATTGATTCCACTTTTCACTCCAGAGACCTTCCAGTACCAAAGTCACCCGTTCTGCCGAAAATCAATCCTCTATGTCCACTTATTACAAACACGGCCCTCACTATATGCAGATTGTTTGGTTGGTTGGTTGGCTGGCTGGTTGGTTGGCTAACTGGCTGATTGTTTGGTTGATTGGCTGGCTAGCTGGTTGTTTGGTTGGCTGGTTGTTTGGTTGGCTGGTTGGTTTTTTGGTTGATTGGCTGGTTGGCTAGCTGGCTGGTTGGTTGGTTGACTGGCTGATTGGTTGGTTGGTGCACTGCTACTAACTTTTTTTCTTCGTGGTTTTTTTAAAATATTTTTTAAATTATCTGCTAATTTTTATTTGATGGGGAAAAATTTAATGAAGTTTTTAAAATTTGAATTTTTTTTTTAGACTTTTTTATGCACGTTGCTTAATAATATTGTTAGTTAACTACACTGTGCATTTATAGATTCGTAATTATAGTTTATAAATATAATTCACACAAAAAATTATAATAGAAAAACGTCATACCACCACCAGGTCGATACATGCAAATGTTATACGCCCTACAATCCATTTCCTATGACGTCATCGTCTGTATGACGCATCTCTTCAATTATTATTTAATATCTGTTGGTTTTTATTGATTTTTATTGTTTAATAATTTTAATTTCCGTATTATTTTAATGTTATGTTTTCTTAAATTTTCATTGTTACTTATGCTGCTATCGTTTAATCTGGTTTTTAAATGTTTTTTTTCTCAACAGATTTACACATTTTTTAGCTGTGATGCAGAAAAGGTGACTAGATTTATATTTTTATTTACATATTTTTTTCTCTAATTTTCTATCTACCTGTTTTTAACTGTCAGTCTTTCTGTCTGTCTGTCTGTCTGTCTGTCTGTCTGTTTGTCTGTCTGTCTATCTATCTATCTATCCATCCATCCATCCATCCATCCATCCATCCATCTATCTATATCATCTACTTATTTATTATATAGTTTCATATATAATTTCATATCATTGTACTTTCGTTGTTTTCAGTTCAGATTCATTTTGATCCATCATTATCCAATTTTTATCATTCCATCTATGCAATAATAAAAACACGTATCTACGTATCCATCTTTAGTGTACATTCAAAATTGCCCATAAGTTCGTTTCATGCTCCCAGGCTCCAGCGAATCTCTTGACTCCTAAACTAAAAGCCTGCATACGTCTCATAGACATGGAGTTGATCCAACACAAACAAAACGACAACATTGTAGTCAATGGCATAGAATTCACGCCTAAGAACGTTAACGACGCCACTGCAGACAACATCGGCAGTACAAGTAGCACACATCAGGGTACGCCTGTTAGTACTGGCCATGGTGCAAGTAGATCAAGTACAAGCAGTGGCAGACGTGCCAGGATAGAGTTGGTGCATCTCTCTTCACTGATAAGACTCGATTCGGCTGATGATTTGTTTGGTCTTAGGTCGAGGATTGTTGCTACAGAGTCCTTGTTAGTTTTGTGAAGATATATTGTCTGTGTGTGGTGTGTGTGTGAGATGATGTGTGTGTGTATGTGGTGATGTGTGTGTGCGTGTAATGATATATGTGGTGATTTGTGTATGTGACGATGTATTTATATGTGATTACGATACGTAATATTGTTTCCAATAGAATATTCATGTCAGAACAGTTCAAAGCTTTAAAGCCCTACCTCTACGAAGCTCTCCCAATAGAGAAGAAGGGATTTCTTGAGCAGTATTTTCTTCATGTCTGTTTGAAATTGATAACTTTTTTTAAATGTGTATTAAATAAAGTGCATTTCCAACAAATGCATGCGTCCGAGATCGCGTTTAATAACAAGTCTAAATTTTATTGAAACAACATTTCTTCGATGACGTTTGTAATGTTGTAACTGATGATAAGGACGATGATAACGATTACGACGATGATGAAAGTGAAATGAACGAACGTGCAGACGATGAACATAGTGAGTGACATACGCCGGCCTATCTACTATCCAGTTGTGTTTGATTCATTGAAACTTGACGTCTGCTTGGACATGATGGTCACACAGGTCAGGTGGGATATCAAGGAGATTATGTCGCAGCATTCAACATACGTCGACGCTATGCTCAACGTTTGCAACTTTTATTTTTATTCAAAAGTTTGTTGTTGGACATTTGAGAAGAGCTAGAATGAAAATGTTTATAAATGTGATTCAGCACATTCTGGTCTAGACTATTAGTTTTTATGTTTAATTATGCAGGAAATAAAAAAATTCCAATTGAAGCTGTCCGAATTTTCCAAGTCATTCCCAATTCCAACTCCAGTGAATGACTGCTTGTGGGAGCAGGTGTCCAGGGTGTGCAATCAAACTCTCGTGGAAGGGTTCGTCTCGAATACGCCTTTACTTTATTTCTGCAAACATTCTTATTTCTATTTTTTGCTCAATTAAGACAACTTTAATCCAGAATTAATTATATATATATATATATATATATATATATATATATATATATATATATATATATATATATATACATTTTTAAGGTTCTCAGCAGCGAAGAAATGCACCAACGAAGGCAGAGCGCTGATGATGCTAGACTACCAACAGTTTCTCATCAAATTTGAAAAATTCACCACACTCCGGTATAACATCTCGTTGTCTTCAAATTCAGTTTTAAATTCTGAAAATTTATTCTCAAGTTCCGATAAAGCAATTTAAACTTGATGAGTGTATGTGATGTACATCTAACACCGCTCGAACCGAAGATTAAATTCTATTGAGAGAGAAATAAATTTACGCAAGCTTCAGACTTAGATTACTTGATTAAAATTATCATTTTAATTGTTTGTTGTTCACAAAAAAAATTTGTTCAACATCTCCAGTCCAATACCAGGCCGAGATTACGTAGAGGGTTACATAAAGGCCTTCTATCTGCCTGAAAATCAGCTGGAAACGTGGATTGCCGAACGAAAAGTATGCTTTGTAGTTTGAATTGTAATGCGAAATATTGAAGTTTATGTTTAAAACGCGAGAAATTTCTTTTAATTTTAGGAAATTTACTTTAATTTAATTGGTTAATTAATCTATTTTTTTGTTTGTTAGGAATACACTCCGAAACAATTACTATCCCTCGTTACGTGCTTGGGACATATAAGCAAGAAAACGAAACAGAAGCTGCTGTCTAGCGTCGACGACACGACAAACGACAAAATCAAAAGGTAGTTTTGCCGCAAGGACCACCGCCGCTACTACGATCAGTCCATTGTTATTTGTGAATTGCAATTGTTTTTTCCACTCACTATGTCTATTTCATGCTCTTATTAAGAGAGTTGTATTTACGATTTAATTTACATTTTTCGCGATATTATATGATTGTTCATTCATTTATTTATTTAAACGTTTATTTCTTTATTTAATTCATTTAGTTATTCATTTATTCATTCATTTGTATACATTAAATTCAGATTAGATTCACTAATTAATATTAAATAAATCATGAACACCATTGTAAACCATTCCATTTTGGCTAACAAAATTATACTACTTTTGCTTGGTTGTCAATTTAAATTTTGAAAATTAATTGTGATTGATTGATTTATTTCCTAAACAGGGCAGTATACGTTAGATACTAAAATAATATTTTCAAACTTCAACTTAATCCTGCCCTATAGATTTTGGTCAAAGTGTTAATTTGCTAAAATCACTAATAAATCACATATTACTCAAATCTAAATTAAATTTTTTAAGCTGATATAATTTTTTTCATTTTAACATGACAAATAAATAAATAAAACAAATACTTACACTTGAAAATGGATGTAAAACCGTCCAGTCGGCACTTAAGCTACTTACAAAATATCACATATTAAAACAGCACAACTTGACGACTCAATAATTTTGTCCGTTGTATCTTGGATTAGTGTAGTTGGTGCAGGCAGACCAACCGCTGCTGCACCCAGCATACGCGTCAAGATTCGTACCGCCGTTGTATCTACTGCATTGGCCTCCCTGCGGTTGCGTGTAACTGGAGTCGACATTGCAGCACCCTCTGTTGCAGCACGTTGCCTGGTTGAGAGATGCTCTGTTCACGTCGACGCCGCTCATTGGGTTCGCACTGAATGAAGTAGCTTGGGGCCCATATGTTGCATTCGCCTGGAAGGAGTTACAATTTATGTTAAAAATTGTACTTGCCTGCACTGAGCCTTGTCTGTTGTTGTACGTGCCGTTTGTGACGAGCAGGTTTTGATTTAAATTTTGCATCCTGTTTTTTTGAAAATTCCACGTTGTCACTGCTGACGGATTGTATTCATCAACCCCCCTGGAAGTGTTTTGTGCTGCTTGGTGCGGAACCACGTTCATTTGAGGTGCGAGATTATTCATGACATCTGCTCCTGCGTAAGCGACGTTTGAATGATTAACGAAGCTGGGATCAAAGTCGTAGCCGCTGCAGTTGAAATTGCTCTGGTCATATGAAATCGTTTCATCCTCGTTACTGCTTGCCGTATAAGCATAGTTCATTGTGGGCACCTTTCGGTTAGATTCGTTATCTTGTTTTTCTTTCTGCTTCCTATTTCTTATCCGTTTGATCGGCTTTCTTTGCTTGAAATCTCCTTTCATGAAATCGTCTACGCAGTCCGGATGAATGGACCAAAAATTGCATTTGCCGTATTCAGCTCTTCCACTTTTGATGAAGCATTTATTGGACGACAAATTGTGACGAATGCTATTTTTCCATGGAAGAGGTCTGGCCTTATTTCCACCCCTTTTTGGAGATTGCTTTTTTTTCGTCTTATTCTTTGAAATTTCCGATAGCTGGTGGGAGAAATGTGCTTCAATATAGTCATATATTTCTCCCAGCATCAATTTTCTCTCTGGAGAATCCAAAATAGCAGCCGAAATCATTTTTATATAGACATTCAAAGCATTTCTACCCCTTTTACGCACGTATTGAAGCCTTGGCGCCACGGCGTTATCCATTCGTAAATGGATATAGTTATCAACTATATCCACAGTAATTAGTTCGAATTAAAAATTTAGCTCAATCAACTGATTCCAAAAATTTGATGGTGGATTTAATTGATGTTTCATTCGCTTATATACGAATACCGGAATAATTGTGCCATATGTGGATTGTATCGATAACATGTCGTTTTGTTAAACTATGTATGCAGTAAAAACTAAACATCATGTCAGTTTAATCCCTGACCTGCATTGCATAATGTACCCTACCTTGCTCGTGCACACCGTTAGCCTAACGCTCAATATTGCGTAATGATCTTGAGCATCACATCCGTTTTTAAACCGCTACTCGGCTGATGTTTTGTTTGGATTCTGTGACACCAGTATCTCTAACTGTTACACTTAACTAACCATAATAACTGATTGTAAAATTATAGCCGACGATATACTTTAACTACTTGCAACCTTAAACTTTTATAATGGCCTGAAAAACCGAAACAATACTAGTTTAATCGCTGCATTAAGAAGCGTATATTCCATTAAAAACTTTAACTCATTTTCTAGTATCAAAGCAACTATACAGGACACAAAAATAAATAATTCATGATGAATTTCCCTGATTAATAACTGTATAGCCGCTATATAGCCGTGCGAGGTAGAGTTTTGTACGTGTAATTCATTGATCTCTGGGGATCGATATTGTAGATGTCAGTAAGCACATGAACAACTTCAGCAGAAGTTTTAAAAGTTTTGAAAGCACTTTTTTTGTTATCCTGTTCACTTTTGTTTCAATAAAGGTGTTGTCGAAACTTTTCGTATTTTTCGTTTGTTTTAGATCGAAAAATAAATATTTAAAAATTAATATTGTAAAATCGATTTGGATGAAATATTAAAATGAATTAATTTACGTATTATTTTAATAATTTTTAAAGATAATTTTACTTTAATTTCCGACTTTTGAAACGATGAATAATTCTACAACTTTGAAGACTACAACGTCTGTTGTGGTGGTGAGCAATTGCAAGAAGTTTGAGGCAAACATTTTCAATAAATTAAAATGTCAGAACTGTTTCAAATCTAAAGAAGAACACTCGGCCAGTGCTCTAGAAAATACAAAAGTGAGATTGTTTAGTTTTAGTTTATTTTAGTTTTGAATTTGTATTATAGTAAAGAACTGTAATTGATTTTATAATTTAAAAATTGAATCTTTTTATTATTTTAATTTGATTTATAAAAAAATGTATATTTTATTGAAATCTGCTATTTATTTTTTTATATTTTATCACATTTGATTTGTTTGATGCTGATCATTTTTGGTGGCTTTTGTGATAATTATAAAGATTATTTCTTAAAATAAATAAAATGATTTGTGTTAACTTGCGATCGCGACCACTAAATGAGAATGAGAAAGAAAGAATCAAAGTTTGCAAATCATGAATCATGTGATATTACAAAATTTATGTTAAAAGTGACTTAAACTTTTTTTTGTCACACACACACACACATGTACAAACAAACACACACAAGCAAACACACACACACACACATCTTCACAAGTAATGTCATTAGATAGCTTATATTAGACATGCTTGCTTAAAGTAATGAGACAATTTATGCATCATTATTCGCTTGTTATTTATTATTATTCTTATTATTTTAATTCTTCATATTATTACTTTTTTATTTTTGGTTCTTTTTATTATTATAGTGTGATTTAATTCAAGAGGGTTTTATTTTTATTAATCCTTTTATAATTTTATGTACACCAGATCTACAAAAGAAGTTTTATGTTACAGACATTTGAATAAATATAATTTCCTTGGCTCTTATTAACTTTTATAAAACTTTTATGATCATATCTATTTTTTTTATATTTTACGCAAATATGTGTTATGTGTTTTTATTTGTTGTTGTTGCTGCTGTGGTTGTGAGTATTGCTGTCTTATGTTTGTTTTTTTTAATCATTTTATTTTCTTTTTTCTTATTGTATTTTTCTCTTTTCACTGACTAACCATTAACAATTTAACTTTTTTATATAATAAAATTTCAAGAAAATTACAAATGTGCTTTAGATTTTTTCATTTAAATTTTTATTTTTATCTTCACAAATTAATAATATCCAGCAATAATAGCAATAACAATGATTAATAATAAATAAAAAAATACAAAATATATTTTATAAAACAATTTGAAACAATTTCATAGAATGCAAGAAAAGTTGTCATGTACAGTTACCTCTTTGTGGCTCCAAACAGTTTTGACTTTAATAGTCCACTTGACAGGACTAAGGTTTTTTATTTGTTTGTTTGTTTGTTTGCCTGTTTAATTGTTTGATGTACTGCTTGTTTTAATACTTTTTTTTCATTATTGCATATTATGTCCCGTGTTAATTCATTTGATGTTTTTTTGCTGTTGTTTTTTTGTGTTACAATTAGCATTGGAACACTGTGTAAGATTTATTGTGTGTTTTGAGTTAAATTTTCTTCAGTTTTAATGTCTTTCTTTGGCTATGTGAGTGGTTTGTGATGCATTTTACTAAAGTTTATTATTTATGTATTGTTCTATTTTGTTTTAAATGATTAAACATTTGTTTTACAATAGTTTTTATTAAAGTTTGTTATGACTAATGTTTTGTTCAACCTTTGTTAAAGATTTTTTTTTATCTGTGTATTGTTTTGCTGTTAATCCTGCTATGTTTACAGTCAGTGTATAAAATTTTTCATCTATTTTTTCAGAGATGGCAAAGGAGATTGTTTGTGCTGTATGATGATGGAGAGCTGACATATTCTGTTGATGAGAATGTAAGATATTTATTTTGTTCTGTTTCAGGGTTGGTTAAATCATAGTGAAATATAGGTTAAATTATAGTGAAATATAACAATTTTTTGTCGTAATACAGAAATGATTAAGTTTAGATAGTGGTGTAGGTTTTAGTATACTAAATTCACTTTTGAACCATAAAAATTAGATCTTAGATTAGATTTTGTGAAAAAATATTGTTTTTTGTTTTGACAGTTTTAATGTAATAACATCATTTTAATGTAATAACCATTAAGTGTTATGACAAAATTAGTGCTAAAATTATATGCTTGCAATATTGCAATCAGTTTGGGACAGTGCCACAAGGGGTCATAGACATGAATAAATGTAAGGAGCTGAAGTACGCCGAGCAGATAACAACACACCGACATTCAATGCTCATCGTTGCTGATGACAACAGTAAGACTTATATTAAAGGGTCTTGTCAGGAAGAATTTGACAGGTGCTTGTTTGCTTGCAGAAAAATTTCATTTATTTTTCTTTTATTGTTTTGTAGAAATTTTTTTTTAGTTTTTCTTGTTTTGTTTTACTTTGTTGTTTATGCTTTAATGAGCTTTTTTTCTGGTTTTAAAACCACCATTTAAGAGTGTTTTTGTTGGTTTGATTAAAATGGTTTTGATAAATTATCCATTTGGTTGTTTTATTGTTTTTAAGGATTTTTAATAAATAGTTATTTTCAAATAGAAATTTGATCAGATAACATGGGTAAGATGATTTTATGAGATAATGATGGTATGATCTTCATGATGAATTTGCCTATTTACTTTTTAGGATGAATTCAAATTTTTTCAATTCTTAAAATGACAAATAAGTTTAACACATTTTCATGATTTACTCATTTGTTTTAAATCTTCAAAGGTGGTTCAAAAAGTTAGAAAAAGTGATGAATGAGTCGAAACCAGTGAAGTCAAAAAGAAATTTTGTCATAACTCACAGCTTATCATATGATAAAAATTACCCTGTATGTGCATTTTATGAATTTTTTTTCATTTTGCTTTTGTTATTTATTTTTTAAAATTTCTTTTTTATTTTTTTATAACAATAAATATATATATGTATGTGTGTGTGTGCGTCTGTGTGTGCGTGTGTTTGTGTGTGTGTGTGCAGTTTATAAGCTGTTTGATTTATTATAGAAGAAATTTTATGTGAATAAGTTTTAATGAGAATATTGGGTTAAATTTACTCATTTCAAGACTTTCCTATCTAATTAAATCAACACAGTTTATTCATTTATAATCCATTGAAGATTGTTTTATTGTTATTTTTTTACTACACTCCCATCATTATTAATGCTGTTAATGTCATCAATAATAATATTATTAACGATAACAAAACATTCATGTTGTTGTTATTGACGTTATTTGTTGTCGTAATTGTTGTTGTTGTAATTGTTGTTATATTCAATATTTCAGCACATCCAAAACAGCAACGTAGATAGGAATTTTAGCGGCCCAAACAACTGGGCACCGACGTCATCAACAACTTCACTTGCGACTCCAACCACAATTTTGCATTACTCCAAAATGTTGAATGGATTATCTAAGAAGCTACAAACAACAGCAGCAACAACGATGACTGCATCGACGACGAAAACTACATCAACTGCAAAATTTACAAGTGGACTTTCTGCTTCTGCAAGTTTGTCCTGTTCTTGAGTTTCTAAATTTTTGTTTTACGATTGTTTTATTCTTGGTCTGTTTTTACTTTTTTTATTTGTACTAATTTGACAAAACTAAATAAATTATTGATTCATCAAAAAAAAGAAAAACTCATTTAGAAAAACAAATTTAAACAATAATTTTCAAGATGAACTAGATGAATCATCAACAAACATCAGTAGCAGCAACAACAATCGTATGCCATACAAAATGCTGCGAAGAATGAAGACAAGGGGTGAGTATATTGGCAGCAGCAACAACAGTAGCTACCACAACAGCCACAGCAGCAACTTTAGTAGCCAGAGCAGCAGCAACAACAACAGCAGAATGAGGTTGGCACAAGGTGATAGTAATGGATCGAAAAGTTTAAAGAAAAGTGTTAGCCTCATTAATTTTCATAGTAAGTGTTTTTTTCTTCTTTTCTTTTGATATATATTAAAAGTAATAAATTGAATATAATTTGAATTTTTGGTGGTTTATTTATATTAACCATTCCACAAAAGACAACCTAAAAGTGTAGGTTAAAAGAATGATGGTAATGATTAATGAATCAATGAACAAGCAAATAAATTTATCAGTGCAGTTGATAAGAAGCGAGGAATAAATGATTTAAAGATTAGGAGTCCATGAATGAGTGTTTATTTAAACATATTCATTGGTTTTATATTACCATCACCAGAATGACATTCATTTAATTTTATTTGCGTATTTGTTTTGTAATAATTTAATTATATGAATAATTATTGATTAAAAGATATGTTAATAATATATTGATTGTTTGATTGGCTGGCTGGTTGGTTGGTTGGTTGGTTGGTCGGTTGACTGGTTGACTGAAACGTCTCTGCCATTAAATAATATTGACTCCAATGACTTCATTTATAAATCTTTGAATATTTTATATTTTATTTTCGTAATTTTTAAATCTTCATAAAAAACTTTATTTATAATTCCTTGAATTTTTTATACTTTCGTATAACTATTAAACTTATATTTAACTTTTTTTAGTAACTTTCTTTTTTTTGTTATGGGTTTGGAAATAAATAAATAGATGATTATTGTACAATCTTAAACATTTTGTTCTTTTCCTCAATAGATGATTCGTTGGAAGATGAGGATGTAGATGAGGAAGAAGATGATGAAGATCAATTGGATGCTACAGTCGGTTGATTGATTGATTGATTGATTAATTGGTTGAATAGTTAATTGATTGATTTACTAAGCGACTAATTAATTAGTTGGTTAATTGGTAGTTTTTTAGTTTATAACATCAGTTACATAATTTGTTTGGCTAGAAAAATCACTTTCCTTTTTTTATTATCATCGGTGTTATGCATAACCCCTAACTATCTCACATTGTTAACATTAACATTAGCATTTATTTTTTAATTAGGCAATTATAATTATTAATTAATTGTTATTAATTAGTTTTCAATTATTCATTTAACACGATCCTAACATTTAACTTTTTTCTAGTATCATTTAGTTTTATTAGTTGGTTCTCTTCATTCTGCATGATATATTTATGCACTACCATTATGTAACTGTTCACATTTAATAAGTTCATTAATTAGGGAATTAATTAGTCAGGTCAATTAGATCATTGTTTATAATTAGATCATTTTAATATGCGGGAACAAAGACTGTTGTAAATAAACACAATTGAATGAAGAATAATTGTAAAGAGTGATTGATTATGGAGATAAAAGGTGATTGATTCTACGTGTATATCTCATTTGCTCGTGTCAGCATTCTTATTCTTTATAATCCAGTTCTGTCAAATACAGAGCTGCTTACATGTTATTCTGTATCTATGCCCGTAGTTAAACCTCAATTTCTGTACACTATGCACACCACACGACGCACGTACACATTACGTATGCACGTGCAAGCACCGCGTCATACGCGTATGATGGTCTTTGAGTTTCTGACAGACGGTATTCGAACCGTACCATTGCGTAATAGCAGCGCGAGATATGGCACTTTTACCGACTGAGCTAACTCGGCAACCAACATGTTATAGAGTACTTGGTTGTGTTTAGTGCTTGTTTGCTCTGAAGTTTAGAATTTTTTGAGGTGAAAATATTATTTTGCAAGAATAAATTTTCAGAACGTCAGTGACAGAGATTGTGTCGAGATGATGTCATCGTATCGTAATGTCGGTGACAACTTTCATGGTAACAACAAATTTGTAAACGACAGCATCAGCAGCAGCAACAACAACAACAACAATAATAATAATTCAATAAGAATGTCAAGGTCACGTAGAAAAATCCAAAAATATCGCAAAAAGCGTGACCAACTGGAAGATGAACTGGTGATGAAAACAAAATCTCTCTCCTCAACGACATCAACGCAGCCTCCTGCATCTTCACTAAACAATTACAACTTCAAAAACACTAACAACCCCAACAATGACAAATCAAAACAGCGTAGCTACTCCATCTGCTGCGACTTGGACCAGCTGCACATCACAGGCATCGTCCTGGGGACTGTTCGAATGTGGGAAGAAAGGTCGAGGTCGTTCGATGCCTCTCAAGGTCGCTCGAGGGGAGGTCTTAGTAAGATGGCTACCGGCAGACGGAGTGGAGGAAAAAATTATAGTTACGATAATTATGGAAATTATAAAAATTATAGTGACAAAGAGGATGTGAATTATGCATTGAAGAAAGCTGAGAAGGAAAGGGTGGTGGATAGGATGGATGGAGGCAATCTGGCTTACAGGAGAAACAACAGTGCAAATGATATTACCCTGGTTGCTCGTAGATACAACAAAAACAAAAATAATAATAATATTAACATTAATAATAATTTTAAGAAGAAATATTATTATAGTTCGACGAATGATGATGAATGTGAGGATGACGATGATGAGGATCGTTTATCATCCATATCAACTTCATCTAATTATTTCAGAGGCTCTAAGATGCAGTACCTCAACAAGATAAATAATAAATATAATAATAATAATAATAATTATTATTATTATTATAATAATATGAAATATAAAACGAATGATTATAGTAGCAAGTTGCACAGTGACAATGATAGAAATGGAAAGGCGGAAAAATTGAGCACCCACGAAATGCTTTTCAATAGAAATAACGCAAAGGATGTTAATCGTGCAAAGCCATTATCATATCTTAACAACAACATGATAAATAACTTATACAACAACAACAACAACGATGATACTGCTCCTAGTAATGCTGGTAATTTTAAAACGGCTGGTTCGCCGATGACATCAACGCCATTCACAACAATATCGTCATCCTTGGCATCGAGTTTCTTCAAGAATACTCAAACTGGGCCAATCGGTGGAGTTAGGTCCTCCTCTGATTGGCTACAACAATCTAAAAGTAAATTCAATCAATATCGGAGTCGTAATCCTAGTAAAAGCATTAACAGTAGCAATGAAGCACTCAAAAATAACATTAACAGCAATAACGACGTGAACAAAAACACTGACTTCAACAATCACGAGGTTGTTTATAATGTGGATAACTTGATTGACGTTTGCCTGGACGATATTCTTCTAGATAATCTCAAGATTAAAAGTAAACCTAATCGATCGAGTCCCAGCAAATCACCTGTCAGTCATAAGGAAGTTTCTCCTTATAAAGTATTTTTATTTATTTATATATACATATAAATTTATAATGTAATAATAAATTTTATGATAATTTTAACGTCTAAGTACAAAATACGAAATAATCATGCACTTGTGTTTTGTGTACGTGTGCGTGCATGCGCGCGCGTGTGTTTGCTATTTTATGAGTTTTAAATTAATTTATGCGATTATAACTTATTCGTTTTTTGTGTTGATAGATTTTGAGTTTTATGTTTTGTATGAATGAATGAATGAATGAGTGAGTGAGTGAGTGAATGAATGAATGAAATGAATGAATGTGTGTATGTATGTACGTAAGCGTGTGTGTATGTCTGTGTATGTGTATTTTTATATGAGATTTGGTTGTACTTATGTTTGCATATGTATGTGTGCGTATGTTTAGAAGACCTTGTCTTGGTGTATGCTGTTTGCAAGGGCGTTTTATATACTCCTAAATAAATAAATAAATAAGTTTTTTTTTCATTAGAAAATAGCGAAGTAGGTAAAATATGAATATATATCTAGCCACACCTGTTAAATGTGATGTAACAACTTTCAATGTATTATTATACCACAGCATGGTGCTACTTTACCTTTTTTTCTATCACATATGGACTGGTGCATGTTATCCACCTTTTTTTAAATTTTCTAATCATTAAGGATCGATATAGTCCAATTAATTCATTTGATTTATTCTGATTCGTATAAGAGTTTCTATAATCTAATTGTATGTAGTAGTGTCTTATCTACTATTTTGTATTTATTTAAAAATAGATATTTTTAATCACGTAGTAGTTGTTAAAGTTTGCTAACTTAATGGATGTGTATGTTTTAACCTTCTTGCATTTCTGATTTATAAAAAAAATTATTTTTCACTATATTTTTCTCATTTTTTCTTGTTTATTTTAGTTGCTTGGTTAATTAAATTAATTAATTTAATTAATCAATCAGTTAATTAATTAATCAAATTTTTAAATCTAAGGAGTTTTCCAAAGAAAACAATAAAAACCCGTCTGTCAACAGCCTCATTGAAAACCACGCAAATAACACTAATAACATTAACAACGGTTTTAGCAATGTTGTCAGCAGCGTTAACGATAGCAATAACGTTAATGATGCTACAAGTATTGTTGCATGTAGTTACAACAACAACAGTTTTTATGGTATAAATTGCAACAACGAAAACAACAAAAACAGGAATTCGTTCCATTATATTGATGATTACATTGATAATAACAACAACAACAGTAAAACTGAAAACAACAACAACAATAATAATAATAACAACAACAACAAATGTGATAACAAATTTAACTCAAATATTAATACAAGCCGAAGCCCTAATATGGATCTGTATTTCTATGATCTAAGGTTATATATTGCTGCTGATTAAATAATTATTATTTTCATAGTTGTCATTGTTGTCATTATTATTATTATCATTATTTTATCAATTGATTGTTTGTTTAAGTGTTTTCTTTCATATTGTTATCATTCATCAGTTTATCACATTTCATTCATTGAGTTATGTTTGGCTTTATTGTATGTATAGTTGACATTAGGATATGTTGTTATTATTATTATTGTTATTATATTGCTGGTGACGACGACGACAATGTGATTATGTTGATGGTGATGATAAGGATGATGAAGATGAAAATAAAGATGATGATTAAAGATGACGATGATGATGGGGTTGATAACGTTGAAATAATTTTTCTTCCTCAAGCCTCTTGAGTAGCACATCCGCCAAGATTTCCCCATCAACTTCTCCAATGTCATCATTATCATCATCACCACCGTCATCGTCATCATCATCAACATCATATACGAACTCATCAACGCTAGTTTCGTCATCAGCTTACGGGGTTATTTCTTGTGCTGCCATCAATGCTAGAGAAGATAATTCCTTTTATAAGAATATAAATTTCAATAACATCAAAAGCAATAATAATTTTCATAATGTAAATGATAATGTTGATAATGTAGATGATAATAATGTCACTGATAACAATGTTAATGATGAAAATATTTATGCTAAAGATACGAGCACTGAATTAAAAAATACTCAAGCCTCCAGCATTTATCATGATAGGTCCAAAAGGAATAGCAGGGTGGATGTAGCAACGTCATCATCGTCTTCGTCATCACCGCCAACATCGTCCACACTTCTCAAGGAGATGAAGGTTGAAAACGAAATCCTCAACAAACGAATTGTCGATCTTGAGTTGGAAAGAAACAAGTTAAAGACTGAAGTTCTCGAAAATTCAAACAATACAAAACTTAAAAATCTTGAAAATCTTGAGTTATTGCAAAAAATTGATTGTGTTAAAAACGATTTGATGAAATCAGAGAAACTCATTGCAAAGCTGAGAGCAGAGTCTGACGAATATTTGAAAAATATTGGCGATAAAAATGAAGTGATAGCAAAACTGCAGATGAAGATAAGAGAATCATCAAACGTGTTCAATGACAAATATTACAATGATTTAAAGTTTGAACGGGATTCACTTTTACTCAAGGTAGATGGCATGCAAAAAGTTTTGAATGGTCAGGAGAGTGAACTGGATAGTGGGAAAAAGTTGAACACAAAATGTGAAGCAGAAAACAGTTGGCTTAAAAGTGAGTTAGATCGAAAAAGTGAAACGATTCTAAACTTGCACGATGATGTCTTGCACTTGAGGAACGAACTGAACAAAGTCACCACAGCTCTCAATGAAAAGGACACAAAAATTTGCCTTCTCTCTGCCGATCTGAACAAATTTGAAACTGATTTCAATAAACTCTCAAAAGAAAGTGAGTCTCAGTTACTGAACAGTAAAAAGCTATTTGAACAAAATAAATTTCTTGAAAAAGATGTTTCCATGAAAAATGGTGAATTAGCCAAGTTGCAAGGTGATCTCTCTGCTTTGAAGTCTGAAAATGATGAACTGAATGCACGTCTTGAGTTTAATTTGGAAGATAGAGGTTATATTGCTGAAGAGTTGGAAGCAGTCAAACAGGAAAATGCAAAGCTGAAGCAACAACTCGAAGAGCAACAATCACTTAATGCCCAGATGAAAAGCACTGCTGCCAACACAACCAACAACTACAACAACGAAACCGCATCCAGTGAGTCGAAGGAAAGATGTAGTGAGTTGGAGCAGGAGCTTTTGGAAGCCAAGCAGTACTGCAGTACACTCATTAATCAGATTGAAACTTTTCAATCAACCATCTCTGAATTGAATTCGGATTACAAAAAGTTGAAGATGCAGTTGCAGTGTGAGATAGGTGGGCTCACGGATCAGGTGAAATCTCTAGAGAAAGAAAAAGCTCAAATGCACGAAAAGTTAAGAAAAGTTTCTGAAGAGAATGTTCAGCTGGTTGGCAGTGCTAAGCAAGATGAACAAATTATTTTGAGTAGGGATAAATTAATCAGAGATTATGAGAAACAAATTGCTGACTTTAAGAAGAGTCTTGGAGAGAAAAAACCAGAGACAATCATTAAAGATACTTCAAGCACTCTAGCAAATAAAAACAATGATATCGAAAAGCAGCATGCAAACAGCGCTCTCAACAGCAACAACAACAACAACAGCAACAACAGTGTTGCCCAACTACAATCCACCATACAGAATCTAAAACGACAGATCAGAAATCTGGAGATCGGTCTGGAGGAAGCAAAAACTTCAAACTCTGAACTGAATAAAAAAATTCAGTTCGAAGTTAAGAAAAGTAACAGGCTGCTACTGGAGAAGAGAGAGATGAGGCTTAAAATGGAGGGTTATGATAATAATAATTATAATATTAATAATAGTGAGGAAAGTGACGGAGATGAGAGTGTTTATGTCAAAGTTGAACCACTGGGTGGTGTCAAGAACGAGAAATTAACTGAGAGTTATGTTACCGTTGATAATAGTAGTCTGAAAAATAAGGATGATGAAATTGAAGAGCTGAAACACAAAATTTCTCAGTTGGAAGAGCAACTATTAAATGCTCAAGTTAGTAGTGATTACATAATTGTATATTTTTTTCATTTAATTTTTCTAATTTTTCATTTTATAAGAAATACTTTTACTATGCAAATTTTTACTTTTTCATTGTGCAAATGATAATAATTTATGAAATTATCTATTTCATTTTTGACTTCCGATACTAAAAATAATCTTATAAACCTAACTCCTCTCACCTCCAATTCTTAAATCACCAATTATATTTTGACTCTTCCCACAAACAATTCTAGACGAATCACGAGCAAGAACTGTCGGAGCAGAGAGCCAATCACAGGAGAGAACTCAGCAGCAGGATTGATGAGATGATGAAGAGACTGACAGACGTCGAGGTAATGAACCTGCCCGTGGATGAAGATGTCGTCAGAAAGAAGTACATGAAGGATGTCAATCGGATTAAAGTGCGTGATGATTGGATGGGTAAAATGATGATTGGATGGGTATAATGATGATTGGATGAGTAAAATGATGATTGGATGGATAAAATGATGACTGAATGAGTAATTTGATAACTGGATGGAAATAAGATGGGGATAATGTTGGTTTAGATGATGATATTGATGAAAATTAGTAATATACTCATGTGTCGGGATGATTGTAAGATGTTGATGGATAAGGGGGATGAAGATGATGAGGCTGACTTATTTGCTGATAGTATGAATATATCTACGAGTGGTGTTGTAATGTAATGACGAGAATTACCAACACGAATAATGATTTATCACAGATTTTTCAAAAAAAAAAATTCAAAAAAATTTCGTTTTTTCCAAATTTGATCATTTTATCGAAAGCATCCATAATTCACCTTAATACGAAATTTGAATGATTGCATCATCACCGCAAATTGTTACATCATCACCGCATCATCCCAACCTCAACTCTCGTCCAGGAAATGTACGACAGAGGATTCAACACCCTGGAAAAATCTCAGCAGCAGACGATAGCTGATCTGAAAAGGAAACAAATTGTTGAACTTGAGAAGATGCGACAGGAAAAGGAACTGCTTCTTAAGGAGGAAGCTGCTGCAACCCAAGCTGGCTAGTAGCTGTAAAACTCAATGTTAAAAAAGTTCTCTATCTCATGCATATAAAAAGATACACGTCTATACTAAATCATTGTATCAATAACAGTACATACATATACAATTACTAATATTAATACTAACACGATGTATACATACAGATACAATTCCTCATACTAGTAAATACGAAATATTCTATACTATTCTATTCTCACGTCTATACTAAATCATTGTATCAATATCAGTACATACATATACAATTACTAATATTAATACTAATACGATGTATACATACAGATACAATTCCTGATACTAGTAAATATGAAATATTCTTTCCAAAACAGCGTTAGACGCCATGAAGAAAGCTCATGAGACAGAACTGAAGAGGGAAAGAGAAAAGTTTGTTGCTCAACTCTCACTCACCTACAGTCATGCTGATATTCAAGATATGCAGAAGAAACACGAGTTTGTATTACTAGTTTTATTATTTTTACACACACTTAGACACACACATACACAAACACACACATACATTATTATCATCATCATCATCAGAGAGGAGATAGCCTTCATACAAAGCGAATTGATGAAGTTATCCGAACAGTTCACAGTTAAATGCATCGAACATGCAACACTCGTTGAACGAATGAAAGCACAAACTTCACTACTGCACCAATGCAGGCACAGGGTTCAGGAACTTATTGAGAGGTATGCTCGTTGTTTGTACGCTTTGTTTGTTTATTCTCTTTATATGTTTGTATTTTTTTGTTTGTTTAAATCTTTGCGTTTATATATTTTACTGCAGTTTTTGTTCAATCGCTTTTATGTTTCTGTTTTTTAAAGGGTTCTTTTGTATGTCTTTTGAGGATTGTCCTGTAGTGTTTTGTTTAGGTTTGATTATTTTTATGGGTTTAAATCTTGTTACTTATGTGATTAGGGCATGACCTGCTAACGTGTATAAATAATTTTGCTCTGTTTACCCTTCGTTTCTCTCATGATTCACATTCAATCGCGCAATTCCCACACAAATCACGTGAACAAGGAACGAGGAACTAACGTCACACTTGAAACAAGAAGTTGAGCTGATGAACAAAAAATTAAATAATTGTTACTCTGGTGACCAGAACTTCAAGGAAATCGTGAAGCATGTAAGTCCTTGTAGAATGCATGGTTTCATTTTTATTGGAATTTTAATGTTTGATGAAATTGATAATAATCAGTTGTAATTATTGTTTGCAATATTCATTTATTCATTATAAACGTTCTATAGTTGCAGCAGTCTGAACTGATGCAGGTGAGAGAGGCCTTATTCTCAACTCAACTGAAACTTCAAATCAAAAATGATGTTTGTTATCTTTTATTAAACATTCATTACATTTAAAAATCTTGAAAATTTTTTAAGATTTAAAAAAATTCTCAGTTGTTTTGTTAACGCGTTGTTTGTTGCTTAAAATCATGATGTTTGGCCTATCTAATGTTCCCAGCAATGTCAGTTTTCATAATTTCTTGAAATGTTTTATTGAGTTCAATAAAAAACATAAAAATGTGATTATTTAAAAAAATAATTTAAAGGAATTAAAAGAACTGGGCGACAAATACAACCAGCTATATGCGGTTGTATGTCGAAGCAAACAAAGCAACAACGGTATCCATAGTGGTAGCGGCGACAGCAGTATTGGTGGTAGCTGCGGTGGATGGAGTAGTAGTAGTGGTAGAGGCGGTGCGTATCTATCAAGAGAAAGTCTGGCTGAGTTATCTGCTGAAGCTGTTTCAAGTATCATCATTGATTGATATTTTTTTATTCTGTTTTCACTGTTGCTCATATTGTTATTATTATCATTTTTATTACTGTTGTTGTTGTTGGAATTGTTGTTAAACTGATAATTATATTTTCATTTTATTATAATAGTTAGAATCATAATTTTACTATAACTTTTTATTATGATTCAATTCGAATTCTTCTTCTTACTCAGCTGCCGATGACAAGGATCTCATATTTGATTGGTCGTTTCCGAACGCGACCTCACGCCTGATTGATCCGAAAGAATTGCCCAAGGACAGTTTAAGCAATCCAATGATGACGAGGAAAACGTCATGGAAGTTTAAAAGTGGATTTTTATTTTAGCATTTTGATGAAAGTTGATATTTAGATTTTTATTGTAAGTAATTTTTTTAAATTTTCTTGGATGCCAGAACAATTTTTTCACTGAAGGCATTTACTTTGAAGGCTTTTGTATTCTTCTTTCTCGTGCCTTATCCTTTCAGGACATTGGCGACCATCGACCTCCACAAAACCAGATCTTTAACACTTTGTAGTAGTTGAAATGTAGTGATATTTAACAAGTAACAAGAGGACTTCACGAACATTATTTGTTGTTAACCGCGATCTCTTCTCTCTGCAATCTTTCCAGTAGTTGTTAGATTTTCCATTCTTTCCTTCCGCATGATGTGTCCAAAAAACTTTAACTGCCCTTGTCGGATTATCTGTAGTAATTTCCTCTTTTCATAACCGAACTGTTTTAATACATCCTCATTCGAAGTATGATTGATTACTTTACTATATTTTAATTAAAGTAAGGATAATCTTACTATTATTGTTGTTATTATTATTATTAATATACTTCATTTTATTATTATTATTATACTTTATTTTTAGATAAGAGCAAGCTATCTTCTCAGAAAAAAGACATTAACATCGCTAACAATAACAGCAATGAATCGAGCAATAATAGTAATAACAATAATAAGAATAGTAATAATGATAACAATAATAATTATGACAATGATGTTCGTTCTAGAAGGTTGTTTCTAGAAAAATCGAAATCAGTCGACTCCGACCACTCCATCTTATCGACGTTCATTCCCGATGGCGTCAGCGATGATGACGTAAGCAGCGCCAGCCACAACAGCCACAATAACGTCAAAAATAATAAAAATAACAATAACGACAGTAATAATAATAATAATAATGTTAGCGGTGTAGATGATTTCAATGAAGTTGTAAACCTCACCAACGTTGATTGCCAAATCATCGGAAAAAGTAAAAATGAAGATGATATTGATGGTGATGAAAATGATGATGGTGATGATGGTAAAGAAACTGGCGGTTATGATGAGCATATTGGAAAAAATTTAATCGATTTCTCCGATATGGAAAGTAAATTCCATGTCGGCAAACATGGTTCAAAATCATACATTCACCCTAGAAATGTTTACGGGGTTTCTAATAATAATGATGACGACGATAGTGATAACTATTATAACGCAGTCGATGAGAAAGCTACTGATGATGATGATGACGAAGATGATGATTATCTGATGAATACTCAAAAAGTGGACCAATCTTTGACTAGTGGTGTTACTACCACAAAGACCAACGCAGTGAATATTTTTACTGCTGCTGCTACCTCTCTTGCTAATACTACGATGCCTGTTACCCATGGAGGCTTCGGAGATAATGGAAATTATAACGACGTGGATGATGTTAATGGTAATTTTTTATCGTTTGTTAATTTGGTTGATCTTACTCCAAAAGCAACAGAGCTATGAAAATGGTTTAAGCGGTTTGGTTTAGATTGGTTGATTTTTATCGATTGATTGACTAATTGGCTCTAATTGATTGATCGATTAACTGATTTTGACCGACTGATTGATTGCTTAGTTTCCATTGATAGTTGATTGTTTGACTGTATGGTTGATTGATTGATTTGAATGGTTAGTTATTTGTCCTATAATAGCTAGAGGTACAGAGGCTTAGATACAAAATTTTCGTTAGTGAGTTTTTGAAGTATAAAGTATTCAAAATGATTAGCATTTGATGCCTTACTCATGTATGTGTTTTTTCATGTTATATTTTGTTATATTTTATATGCAATCCGTTAAATATTAATTAATTGTAAACACGAGCGCGTTCAATTGTATAGTGCAACTGTGGTGACGATGTTTGTGGTTCGATATTCTTTTTTTTTTTATAAAATATTTTGATTAAAATTTTTTACTCGATTTCCATTCTTCAAGTGAAACATCATGTGATCTTAATTCTACTCATTATTTCAAAAAAATATGTTAATGAGCTGGAAAAAATTATTTTGTGCCTGCTATAGTGAACATTTTCTGAATGTCCAACTTTTTATAATGATAACGTGAGATCTTTTTGTTCGTGCTTAACTTGCCCTCTAAGAAATTTTTATGAATGTTTATTCATTGTAATATTTTATCATTAAACATTTTATTATTAATAATTTTTAATACATTAATAATGTTATTTATTCTTATTCAGTTGGTATAATTATTATTGTACGTATGTTAATTAACCATATCAGTTTCAAGTGAGTTTTTCTGTAGCAAAGTTGTAGCCTTCTGAATTTGACTTTGTGAGCAATGCCACGATCAATGCATTGGTGATTTTTGAAGCAGCATTAGTAAACTGATTAAAAGTTATTGAATTGTCTTTTTTTCTCATTAACAAATATTTATTTCTATTGCATATTTTATTTATCCTAAAGCATATCATTTGGTGCGTTCTTAAAATTGTGAGAATTTTGAGAGAATATAACTTACACGCGTTCATTTTATTTTAAAATTTTTTATTTTCTTTCACGTGCATATAATTTTCTTGATTGAACTACATATTCAAATGATTTTTATTCTGTTATATTAGATTGGTTTTACACTAACATATCACAGCCGCCAATTCGATTGATAACAAATGTTATAAGAGTGCCACATTTGAATTATTAAATTTTTTTAATGAAATAAACGGCATTAAATTTTTTTAGACTTCGTGTGATTATTCCAATCATTTTCAATAAAACCCGAGATTCATCCTAAATATGCTAATATCTGTTTTCACCATTAGTGCGAAACTTAGAGCAATTTTGTTTGATCACTCTGACCAGAGTAGGATTGATAATCTTATTGAAAAAAAAAACAAATAAAAAACTGAATACAAAATCCTAAATTTCACACAATATGTGGGACTATGCAGGGAGATAATTTCAATTGTAAAATCTATCGGTAAATGGAAATTTCAGCAAGTTATCCATCAATAGCTTGACTAAAAATGTCCAAAATGTTAATAGAGACATCGTTCAGTGAAACTCCTTGCATGTTTGACAAAATAACCACTGCCAGACTGTTTCCTTTGCTAGAATCTGCATACAATTTTTGACGAAACATTGCAAAAGAATAAAATTTTAAAACACATTTTAAAAATAGCTTAATTTATTAACCACCTTGGAGATTCCATAATTGTTCAGCATTTTCCGCGTCATCATCTAAAGTTATATATAAACAGTACTGTGTTAATAGCAGAAAGTTTGAAATGAAGAATAAGGTAATGAAACTGGGGGCGAGAACTACCTGGATTTGAGAACTTTCCCCTGTTGAATGGCAGTGAGATCATCAAGACGGAGCTGGCTCCTGTAGCTCTCCCAGTATGTCCAACATACATTCTATCATTCCCTTTTTTCCAATTTACCTGCCAACCCAGACCGTACTGAAAGTTGATATTATTTACAAGAATGCCGTTTTTCACTGGCGTCCAGAGCGTGCGAACGATCTCTTTACTTAAGCCTCCTGAATTTTAGTTTTATATTGCATGCATTACATTCGAGAGCTACAAAGTCTTAATTTACATTCGTTATTAGTTTGTTGAGCAATTTTTAAAACTGTTTTAACCAACAGTCGTTTATTAAAAAAAAAGCTTTTGCTAAATTACGTTAATGCTAAATGACCTTGAAGTCATTTTACATTTAATGAGAAATTAGTTGTTTTTCTTTTTGTATCCAACACACGCTCCAAACTAAAGATTGTGCATTGAAATATAGAACATGACAGTAATTTCAGCGTTACTTTAAACGCCAGAACGATTAAGAAGAAGTGGCATAGATGTCGTTGGTTGCTTTCAATCTTTTGCTTTAGTTATATAGCGCCGGCAAAAATAAAATGTTTGAATTATGCATATGGCAGATGTTGTCAACCTGGCGTTTTATTTTTGCCTCGATAACAAGAAATGATGTAATTTGCAAATCGGATAAGATCTACAGAAGTGGAGAGCAATCCTGCGCCAGCAATCTTGAAGGAACTTGAAGTTTGAGGACAGATCACTGGCTTATCATTTACCAATTTGTAATGCCTGGAGAATAAGATCATTTAAAAATTATCTTTATTTATAACATGTTCGCTTTCTATAGAGTTTCAGATCTTTCCATATTAATATGAAAAGTGGCAATGCTGGTGAACAAATGGCATTAATTTGACAACCATTGAACATAAAAAGTTAAGGTAATTAATGCTAGCCTTGATAAATCATTGATAACTTTCTGTTGATCATCATCTACGTGTGTATAATTCATTTCTAAAGATGAAAACATTCTGAACAACATCTCCTTGAATTCCATCTTTGATGATTTTTCCAGGACTGCACTCAAAAGTGTGTACCCATGATTGGAGTAATTGAATTTGCTACCTGTTTAGTTTAAAACAAGTTGTCTGTGCAGGCTAGATAGAAATAACGGTTTAAAAGGTGAAACGTGCTCACCAGACCTGGCTCTGAAATGAGTTCATCACGTTTAAACAATTGCAAAGCAGATGTAACATTTGGGTAGTTCTCCACAATGTGATATTCATCGTATCTATAATTCTTTAATAAATTGCATTAGATTCATTTAAATGCATCCCAGATCCAAATTTTAGAATGGTTTAACTTTGCTCAACAACAATTGCATTATTCAAAGTTTTATAACAATTATATTTTGAATCACCGGTTCTTCTGCTGTTAGTTCAGAATTATATTTGTAGGCACGAATTCCTGCAAGATGACATGCCAACATCCTAGGTGTAATAAAAACCTTTGAATATTTTTTATTAAAACTGATTAAGTACATTAGATACTAAATTGCTCATTTAAGCTTCAATCACAAAACTAATAAAAAGATATACAATATCAAAAAATTAAATTTGAACTAACACTTTTTTCATTATAAAACAGTTCAGGCCAGTCTAGATACTGATTAATATTAGCATCCAAGTCTAGTCTACCTTTGTCAATTTCATTGGCCATCAATGCAGATGTTATGCACTTGCTTATGCTTGCAATTTTCATAACTGTGTTTTCAGTACATAAAGTATTATTCTCCACATCTGAATGACCAAAACCTGGAAAATATTCATGATAAAAATTAAAAATATCAATTTTGAAAGGTCTATTTCAATAATATTAATTCAAAAGTTTCAATTTTTAATTAATGAAATAAATGCAACTAGCATACAATACCTTCTGTCCAAACAAGTGAGCCATTGACTGAGACAGAAATACTTACTCCAGGTATTTTGTGCAATTGCTATTGGAAAAATTATTTATATGCCCATTTAATTTAATTTTTAAAAGTAATTAAATTAAATTTAGACGTTTTAGTTAGATCCATAATTAAAAAATATAATTTATAATTTATATTTTATTTAATAATTAATTAATTTTAATGTTAATCATTTATTTATTTAAAAAATCTAAAACATGACAAGATATTATTATATATTTTAATATAATAAAACTAAGTAATAGATAATTTATCTTAAAACAAACCCATCACCTGCAGACCAATGATAACTTTTTTGCATTTTTCGATTGCAGTTGAAATCCGGTGGCGATCACTTTCGCTTTTCAGTTCCATCATGTTGCTTCTTGCGCCGACCCAGAGAGCTAAAAGTGAATTGTCGTAACAAATAAAAATCCAAGGGTGGAGTATCAAAGAAACATACAAGAAAACACATATGCACAACATGTACAACAACATATACAACAACAACCTTTACAACACACACGACAAGCTATACAAACAAACTATACAACACACACAACAACACATACAATCAAACAACATCATATACAACAGCAAATACACAACAATATATACAACACAACAGCACATGAAACAAATAACAACATATACAACAACAAACGCAACAACACCTACATTTTTACAGGCGCAAAATCGCCTATAAATCAACATCCTAACCTTCATTCCTGTGGTGATTCTCTGATTATTTTTGTTTATGTGTTTGTCGTGTGTGTGTGCGTGTGTGTGTGGTGTCTATGTGTGTGTGTGTGTGTGTGTGGTGTCTATGTGTTTGTGCAATGGTGTTTCAGTTTAAGATGAGTGAAGGTGTTTGCATGTTAATTCCGTGTCTGATTGATCAAAGTAATGAATATTTTTAGATTCAAATGGTTAGTAACAGTGAACTAGAGTAAGTGATATTTGCAGTCTTCTATGACCCTCTTTTTTCCAAACATTTCATGCCGTTGGACGTCGGCAGTGGCTAACTTTTTGGTTTGCTTTTTTCGTTTACCCGTTCATTCATTTATTATTTCATTCGTACTTTCATCCGTTTTGTCAGTCGTACTTTCAAATCACTTGTTAATTATCTTTCGTTCATTCATTTATTTATTTCTAAGCTTAATTGTGTATTTATTAAAAGATTTGTCTACAGAATGCCCCTTGTTGGACTCTAATGGTATTTCGTTTAAATCTTATTTATAAAAAAAACCTTTTTATTGAACAGACAACTCGACTAGATCATGTTTAATGCCGTTGTCCACACATGTATGAATTCTACACATGTGTAATTGAGTCTCCATTCTTCAATATGTGTTTTGAGCAAGGTGTGCACATTAAAACAAAAATGAATTTTTTTACGAGTTGTCAGAGAAAAACGTAGATTTAGTTTAATTTCATTGAAGTTAATTTGAATAGGAGCAGATGTTAAATGTGAAAATTCAAATTAATCCAACGACACCAGATAATGGTAAGTTACTCTAAAAAACTGCCACGTAGATAGAAATTTTTAGGCGTAAGTTACGTTATTGCATCATATATTATATCCTATTTTGAAACAAACAAAAAAGAAACTTTAGCAGTTAATTGCTGATTAATTGTTGATCCTATTGTTAACAAACTTTTGAAATTTTGTGTTTCAGAATTTCTCAAAATTTTCCTGATTAATTGTTGATCCTATTGTTAGCAAACTTTTGAAATTTTGTGTTTCAGAATTTCTCAGAATTTTCCTGATTAATTGTTGATCCTATTGTTAGCAAACTTTTGAAATTTTGTGTTTCAGAATTTCAGAAGAACCGTACAGGACAAGGACTAATATAATATGTTCGAGCGAATTTGGCTTGGGTTGGTCCTGGTGACGGTCATTCAATCTGTTGTTTACTGCCAAGAAAGGTTTGCAATATTGTATTTATAAAAAAAATGTTGATTCCTTATATTGATTTATTATTTTTATGCGGGTTATGCTCAAGTAAAAAAATTGATATAAAGATTAAATCATTTTAACACATCAAACTTGATTGAATAAAAAAAAATCACCTGATAGTTGATTAGACGTTTTTAAATGAATGTATCGTTTTAACATTAAAAATATTTTATTAAATATTGTTAATCGTTTCGTTTCATTTCGTTTTCTAAACTGGTTAACTTAAAATTATAAAATGTTCGTATTCTAAGAGATTGATCATTTGAATTTTGCTACGGAACGGAATGCACTATTTTTGATATTTTCATTTATAAAATATTAAATTTAATTAGTTACATTTAGTCGCTTTGGGCATGACAAAATTTTTCAATGTCAAAAATTAATTTATAGCAGGAACTCGAAGTTTAGAATATGTTGGAAAAATTCAAAATTCTGTTTAGTTCCTGGTTTTGTAGATGGCGTTACTATAATTGAAGTGGATAATAGAGACTATCCAGAATATTTATGGGACTGGCAAGTTAACGAGCACGGATATATAAAAAACAGTTTTTATGGATATGGGATTGACTTGGGTGACAGCATGTGCATTTCGTATGACAAAAGTGTTGGTAAGTTAACTTGCGAGGTTAATGAAATTTATTTTTTAAATAATAAATATTCTGGTGAAAATATATTTAAAGTTATCATAAAAATGTGATCTATCTCCAGTTTCTGAGACCAATGTGCCCGCATATCGACTGATCATCGAAGCTCCATTTGATGAAAATAAAGCGTCCAATGAAAACTGAACAATCGCAATGATCAAATACTCATAAACGAAGCCATAAACTTGACAATTATCCACGACGTAAGTCCTTCAATTTGTTTGATTGCACTGTTTGGAAAGCATATTGAGAGCATCAAAGTGACCAATATAGACGTCGAAAAGAAATCAGACGCCTGCGTTGAAAACATCCAAGCGTACGTGAAAAAATACTTGGGATAAATGATGTTTCAGAAAATTAAATTTTCTTGCAACTTATTTTGAACGTACAACTGAAATTGAAACACATTAATAAAACAATTTGTTCACAATTATAAATGCAACACTGTTAAAAAAATAAAATTTTTTTGGAATGTTCACTGTCAAATAATTTTTTTCGCAAGCGTAGTTTCCGAAACGTTCAACAGTGCTCTCTGGAATGAATTTTGCAAACAGATGGGATTTTAGATTCATTTTAAATTACTTGACTGACAATAAGCTAGGAGAGAAGGATGAAAGTTTCAGAAAATTGATCCATAAGAACAAAAGGGTAACCTAAAATGTTTAATAGGAATTTAAAAAACTAGTGAGAACGAGAAGACAATCGTAGACCAGGGAACATGGGTTTAGTAAAAACGTCAGATGAATATTTTTTAAATAAGTCAGTTTGCGATTTGTTTTGTACGTTAATCTCTAATAATTAATCTATATTTTTGAGGTAGAGAACAAAATATTTAAAGATACAAGAGAAGATAGGACAGGAGTAACTAAAATAGCGAGTAGATGTGGAAGTTTTATTTAAAAGATAGTAGAATCATACAGCAAGTTACAGCAATCAATTGTAGATGAAACTAATGAAGTTATAGTCAATAATAAGGAGTCCACAGAAAATTTACAAGTGAAATACTCACGTAGAAAACTTTTAAAAATTATCGGATCCATTTAAGCTTGTGAAATTTAATGTCTTTTGAAGAAAGTTGGCCAGGCTCTAAACGCTTTGTTATATATAAATTTTGATTCAAGTATTCGTGAACAAGCAATAATTTTCCATCTTCTACCCTTTTCAAATGTTTTTGCTTGAAAGCTGAGAAGTAATTTGCATTCAAGTACTGATTAGGCCGTTGGTGTGCGTAATTTAAAGAAATTTTTAATTAAAAGCAAGCATTTATTTGAGGTAAAATAAAAATAATAATAATAAATGAAAATAAAAACTAAAAGAGAATAATTCATAGTTCAATCAAATAGTTGATTGTATTTACATAACATCATTTGTTTACTCAAATTTTTTACTGGATTTGATGTAGTGTAGTTAAAACGGTGAAATTTGTTTGCTCGCACGTAAATGGAATTTTTTTTTAAATTTGATTGCAATGGGCCGAACGATCTATCGATCTGCGAAAATTTGTTTCATTAAAATTTATTTAAATAAAAAATTACAATAAACATATTTTATAAACAAAACTTTTTAATTTGTTAATATCAATCTCAAATATATGCCAACATAGCCAATAGTATTAATCATATTTTGTTTAGTTTTTTCAGTTAAATTCATCTTTGACAACTAAATTAAATTAATTCACATTCAGCATCAGTTACATCTTACATCCAATTTTACTAAAATATAATTTTTAAGATTGTTTGTGAATTTTATTTGATAGTTCGTGATGCTTTGTTTTGTGCATGATGGCAATATTACATTCGTGATGTCTGATAAATCTTGCACATGTGTGGTTATATTAAATTCTTATGATGTGTTATACGATTGCATTGCGTTGGCAGACGCACCTGAGCTTAACTGTACATTTAATGTTTGTTTGTTACTTAACACGTCTTAACTGTGAAAATATTTTGTCTAAAATTAAAACCCACGAAAAATTAAAAATAAATTTAATGAACGGTGAACTGCACCGACGAACCACAGCCTGTATAATGTATTTGCAGGCACCAAGCGCGTTCAAGTACTTGTAATGTGTTCATAAGCTCATCTGCCAATGATATTTAAGTGCAAGTCGTACATGAATGCTTTATTTGCACGTTCAACAACTGAACGTTCCAGAACTATTTGCATTAAATATCAAGCTGCTTCTCTCTTTCTTTTCCTTCTCTCTCTCTCCCTTTTCTCTCTTTCTCTCTCTCTCCCTTTTCTCTTTCTTTCTCTATCTTTTCTCTCTCTCTCTCTCTTTCTCTCTCTCTCTCTCTCTCTCTCCCTCTCTGCTATATGTGTGTCTGCTTCAACTGTGACAACGGTTGCATTGAATGAGCTTGACGCAAATCAAATCATGCGTTAATGTTGGTTTTTGTAACGTCCGAGGAATCGTCACTAATGTGTGTGTGTGTGTGTGTGTGTGTGCAAGTGCAAGCGTGTGTGGCTATATGGCTTTTTTATCTTAAAGATGAAAGTAAAAGGTATGGATACAAAATAAAAAGTTTCACGCATATATAAACAGACACACACATACACACACATAAAAATAATGTAAACAACACATAGGCATAGATACATGTACGTGCATGACGGTTGATTCCTAATGTCAACACTGAAACGCCATACCTTTAAATATAAAACCAATTTATATTTATATATATCGAATAAGCTATAAGCTGTCTGAAGATGTAGATAGATAAACTAAGCGTAACTTATTTACTTAAAAAATCAAATATATAGCTACCTCTACTACTAAAGATTTACCAGGACCACCCCAACTTTTCGTTTATTAGCGGCAAACTACTTCATAATTGACTATGTAAATGCCAGACTGCCAGACTATCTTCTCTGACAACCCTCAGACATCAATGCTTATTTTATATACTTTTGTTAATTTTATTTTTATAATTAAAATTTTATATCATTAGCACCAACATTAAGTTTAACTAACGCTAAATTTTACTAAAAATAAGTAAAAGAATACAGCTGTTCCTACTACCATTTTCATCGCTATCATTATTTCCAGCAAGTACTAAGACCGCTTCCGACGAAAGTTGTCAGCACTGACCAGCAACCATGAACCATCCAAATCAGCCGTCCATTTTGTTGGTCGTTACATTCCATTTACTTGGATGCAGCTTGATCGACGAGATGAAGCGGGCCGACGCGTTCAACGTCTTTCCGGAGTGGCTGAGTTTGTCGTCATCGAACAAGGATGACGAGCGGGGATACTTCCAGCTGAGAGATGACATGCTGGCCTCCGAACGAGAATATGAGCAACGGAAATTTTTATACAGTCAAGTCAGTTTAATTTATTGTTTTGCAGTTTGTTAAACTATCGCTATAAATCTAAGGCAAACTTTAATTTGTTGATGCGGCATAAAAAAGGTGACATTCTATAGTTTTGATAGTTTAAAACCATCTCGTTATTTTGACTTGAGCCAAATTGAAATTTTTATGAAAAATGCATTTATAGGATGAGGTGGTCGTGAACAACTACATGGAGTACTTGAAGTGGAGGGAGCAAGCGGCCAACATGAGTTACTTTTTGCCATCAAGACCAATCGAACAAACGTTGACAAGCATCAAATCCAGCGAGATGTTTGCCGCTCTGAAAGATTTGCCAAAGGGTGGAAACTTACATTCTCACGAAAGTATCTTTTTTAAATTTTTTTTTTACATACTGATATATAGCAGAAAAAATTTAAGGGAAAAATGACGAAAAAAAAAACAATTTAAAAAAATTAAACAAACGAATCCCATTAATAAAATTTACATAGAGTAAAACTTCTTGAATATAAATTAGCCAAATGCTTACGTATATATATTATATATACATTTATAGTTAACCACAAAAGTACTAACAAATAATTTTGTCAACGTTACCAAAATTTTTGCTGCTCATTTCAGATCACCAGCTGGGCAAGAGGAAATTGTTTGAAATCGTTTGGAGCATGGATGAGTTTCAGTACTTGCACGTTGTTCAGTCCGGTGGGAAATCACGTAATGAATGGAATACAGATTTCTTTGTAAACCCTCCTACCAATGAAGTTTGGGTAAAGGTGTGTAATATCGTTGAAACTGTTTCGCATCATTAATAATTTTTAAAAATTTTTTATAAAAAATTGATAATTTTATGAACTAATATTACAATATGTCAAAACGGTTTTGTATTGCAGGTTGAACGAAAACAACTGACTGGTTAAAATATAACAATTCAGGCACAAATTAGAATATATTTTCTGTTAAAAACTTACAAATTAATAATGATTTATTTTTACATTTCTGTACACCCAGGTAAAAGACACAAACTTGACCATTGATGACCTCGTGAAGCAGAACACTCTCATCAACATCATGTCATTGGAGGATACAAACACGCCGACAGATTCTGCTAACAGGTGGTCAAAGCTCAACCGCCTATGGAACAGAGCAGGTTCGCCAATACTAGCCAACTACAACCTGCGCAAGAAATATTTGCTGGCGATGTACAACGAAAGTTACAACGAAGGTATCACGTACATAGAAAGCAGGCGAGCTTACGACAACATACTGTATGTGATGGATCCTTCGGGAGCAAACAGCGCAACTTATGGAAAAAAATATTTGGGTGCCGATTTTTCAATCGAGATACAAGTGGCTTTAGATGCTGCCAAGGAATTTTCCGATACGCACCCTAGGTTCATAGGACATAAAGCCATTGGTTATGCAAGCAGAAGCAAAAATGAAACAGTGTTTCAGAGAGCTTTGAACAAAACGATAAAAATGTTTCAGAGCTACCCCCAACACATGATCGGATTCGATGCCGTTGGAGAAGAAGATGCTGGATACTCGTCGTTGAAGTTCATCGATGAGTATTTAACCAACTTTCAAAAGGGTTTGTTGTCATGTTCATTGTTTAGCACTGATATTTTAAATCTATGACCACGTGTACAACAACGCAGAAAAAATTAATATTTATATTTTAATATTTTATAAAAAAAAACTAACAAGAAAACTTAAACATGGACCAGGCGGAATTTCTGTTCCTTTGTACCTTCACTCCGTAGAAACGAACTGGCCGATCGACCTGATGACTTACACGAAAGATGATGACATAGTGCCAACGTTGGAGAATGCTTACGAATCCATTTTGTTGGCCGCGAAAAGGGTGGGCCACGGCAAGGGCTTCCTCAAAATGCCCTACCTGCGCCAAATAATGAAGGAGAGGAAGGTTGCCGTTGAGGCTTGTGTTGTTAGCAATCAAGTGAGTTGTATGATAATTGTTGCGAATATTGGAAATGTATGTTATTAATCGAATAACCAGATATACATTCACACAAAAACAATATTTTATATTTACCCTTTCATATACACAAGATTCTTGGATACGATCCAGACCTACGCAACCACTTTGCACAAGTTTACCACAAGGAAGGCATCCCAATCGTCCTCGCTCCAGATGATCCTGGCACGATGGGATACGATACAGTTGTTGTCGACTGGTACGTTGCTTACGTGGGATGGGGTTTAGAGCTTGGTGATCTGAAGAAGATAGCCCTCAACTCTCTCGTCTACAACGGATTGACTGATGCCGAGAGAAATGTTGCCATTGAACAAAAGTGGAGACCATCGTGGAATGAGTACATAACTAAGATGAAGAACATCGCATGTGCAAGAGACTTCGCTGCCGAAGCTGCCAAGGAAAACAGGACTGTGAAGTTCGTGCGACTGTTGCCAACTGAGGGCTACGAAAGCGGAAACGTGCACGTGTACGGTCGGAACTTTGAAGTTGCCATCTGTAAGGTACCGAAATGTCGATTTGAATCGATTGGCGATGTAAACGCCATCTACATATCAGACAGGCACATTGTATGCCCCGCTCCCAAGTGCCCCGCTTGTGCTGGCAAATCAACGAAGGTCAGTTTGAAGGTAGCCCTGGATGGAGATAATTACAAGCAGACCAATCTGGATTTCACGCTGACGTTTGCGGCGGCCGGGAGTAAAAGTTCCTTTACAGCGTCCATTTCTATTACAATAATTGTAAACTTTGTTTATAAATTACTTCCTTAAAATATGAACATCAAACGTTGAGTTGGTTTTTTAAATGTTCTTAGCGATGATTTTTAAAAACTTGAGCCTTTGTGGACGAAAATAGAAATATACAATAGATTTCTTTTGTAAATGTGCAAGAAATATGGGATTGGGATATCTGTGGTTATCTTCACGGTGATCTTCTGCCAGATTTCAGATAATGTCAATATTGCCAAAATAACGCTACGTAGAAATAATTAATCAAAATTCACATTGCTCTAAATGGAAAACTTCTTTTATTTCCATGAGTTTAATGTGATTAATTGTTAGATAATAATTGTTAACACAGGTGACTCCATTTAGTTATTTCCCGGTAGCTAATCTTATTTAAACAGTTTTATGAACTCATTTCACATTAGTTGATATTTCGTTGATACTCATCCATTAAATGATATTTTTAAAGGTATTTTGCAACATTTTATCGAACTTGAATCAGTTATTTTCGCTATTAATAATATTTCCTAGTATGAACAATTTTATTATAATGCATATCAACAATATTTTTAATTTTTATACAAATATTCCGTGCACCGTATTGTTTGTAAAGCGCTTATTATGTCCGTAAAATTGAGACAGTAGATATATTCAAGCCGTCTCAACATTCCTAACATAGTCCATGACTTGTTATTTCACAATAAATCTCTCTTATCCCTTAGGTAAATGTTGACTACGCATCTAGAGAACTGACTACCTTTAGGACAACAAGTTTAATTACGTTCCGAATTAAATAAATAAATGTTAGAAAGTGAAACAAATACTTTTTAAACTTGCAATTTTGTTTAATATTTATAATTAAACCTTCACATGGATTTCAATTAATAGAATAAACACTGAATTTATTCGCAATCTATAAATCTATGAATGCGATGTAATTATTTATAGATTATGTTGATAAAATAGACATTATTAAAAGTGCTCGAGACAATGCACTCACGCGGACTCTGTGCCATCAAATCAAACATTTTCATGTCGCTGAGCTTTTAAAAATTTAGCAAGTTTGATACATATGCTGTCTCATCATTGTAAGGGTTTGCCTCAGAACAACTACATAAACTACATTAATCATTTAACCAACTAAAACTAAATTACCATTCCCACATTTATCGATCAGTCAAAGTTTCGACACTCGCTTTTTTAAGAAATCACGTCATATTCACCGATCAAAACCATATCACACAACTCACGCCAGCAAAAACACAACTCTGCAACAACCATTGATTTCGATTTTTTTAAATAAAAATAATAACTTTCGTTTCTGTTTTATTACAAATGGAGTGTTATTTTCTACTAACAGGCGTGATTAAAAATTCGAAACAAGTTATGTGTGTTATAAAAAGTGTCTTTGGTGTTTATTAACATCTGTTTAATGCAAGCACTTTCAAAGGATGTGAATAATTTTGTAGCTAACAAGTGTTTCGTTTAACACTGCCATTGTATTTCATTTACTACCTCTATTCTTCATATTGTTTGTGATCTGTTAAATCAAATTTTTACGCTTTTGATGACATAAAAATCTAATTAACTGCAACATGTTAAGTTGTAGGTTGAGCATCATACAAAACGAGATATATACAATAGTATTTATGAATTGTTTCAAGTATGATATATACATTTAATGATTGTTGTTTTACAGAACGCAATCAAGAGGTGAAAATATTTTGTTTAAAATTAAAAATTTTTGAAAAAGTAAAATTAGAATTAACGTGTAGCTATGAGGTATTTGCAGGAACCAAACGTATTCAAGTACTTGTAAGACGTTCGTAAGCCCCTCTAACATTGGTATTTAGTGCAAGTCGTCAAGGCATGCTTTATTTGCAAGTTTAACAATTAGTGTTCCAGAAATATTTGCATTAAAAATCTAGCTGTATTTGTCTTTGTCAATGTGTGTGCGCGCGTGTGCGTGCGTGTGTGTATGTGTGAATGATTTAAACAACTTAAATATGTATTTATTTATTCATTGTTCCAAATATTTCGGCTGAGGATCTTAGCAAGAAATAGAATATGCATAGGACTGTGATATGGATTTTTAGAGTTTAACGTTGCCAACCAATCGTTGAAAATTCACTTGATATTTGAGTAATAATTTACAAACTGAATAATAAAATCAAAATTGAAACTAAACACTCGTGTGCAGTTTGGAATGATGTCATGGTCATCTAATTCATGGTTCGCCTCGTTTGTACCACATAAACTTTTTGAAATTGTTTAAATTTGTGTTACCCACGCATTACAATTAATAACAAATAATCTGTGGAGGTTGATTTTGTCTTTAAACATTAAAAAGTGCTTCAACTAAAAATTTATTTATGCATATATTTATACATATAATATATATATAAGCATGGTTTAATTATTTGAATATATATATATATACATATATATCATTATTATATATATTTATACATACCATTCATATATATTATTACCAACACACACACGCACACACACACACACACACACACACACACATATATATATATATATATATATATATATATATATATCTGGGTGTATATATGGGCTATAGTTGAATGCTTCATTAACAGAAGGCACGAAGGAACAAGTTACTGTCACTGAAGTAATACCACCAGTTACCGAGACCATCGTATTTTTTCAGCACGACAATTTCGTTATATAGTTCTACCTGCCTGCTAACCGGGCAATAAATAATTTACTGTTGCTTTGTCAATCAACAGCTGTCAAAACTCATCAAATACTTTTTTCTTCAATTTTTTTTACTATAATTCTTTCTCAACATTGCGTATTACGATTATTCCGGATACCACTACTGACACTACTATTAATAAAACAATTGTTAGAAGTTGACGAATCTGCAATCTGTAAAATTTCACTTCCGACGAAAGTTGTCAGCACTGACCAGCAACCATGAACCATCCAAATCAGCCGTCCATTTTGTTGGTCGTTACATTCCATTTACTTGGATGCAGCTTGATCGACGAGATGAAGCGGGCCGACGCGTTCAACGTCTTTCCGGAGTGGCTGAGTTTGTCGTCATCGAACAAGGATGACGAGCGGGGATACTTCCAGCTGAGAGATGACATGCTGGCCTCCGAACGAGAATATGAACAACGGAAATTTTCATACAGCCAAGTTTGTCTACTTGTTATGTGAAAACTATTTTTTAAATTGTAGTTTAAATGAAATGTAAAAAAAAATAAATGTAAACTGTCTCCAAAAATGTTAATTATCAGTGAACCACGGGTGTTATTTGCGTTGAATATATTTTAAAGTAGTACCTAAGTAGGCAGTTGATACAGTATTTTGAAAAATTGATATAGTAATAATTTCAACGTAAATTTAACTTATTTTTGTATGCTGTCTAAAAAATTCAACATTCATTAAATTGGACCATTAAAAATCATAGCGTTATTTGGACTTAAGCCAGCTTGAAATTTCTATAAAATGCATTTATAGGATGAGGTCGTCGTGAACAACTTCATGGAGCACTTGAAGTGGAGGGAGCAGGCGGCCAACATGAGTTACTTTCTGCCATCAAGACCAATCGAACAAACGTTGACAAGCATCAAATCCAGCGAGATTTTTGCCGCTCTGAAAGATTTGCCGAAGGGTGGAAACTTACATTCTCACGAAAGTATCTTTTTTAAATTTTAAAAAATTAGTTTTCTTGACATATTGAAATATTAAAATTAAGTTTATAGCATAACGACAAAAAAATGAATTAACAATTTTCAAAAATTAAACAAACAATCTCATAAATAAAATTTACATTAACTAAATTCTTGTATATAAATTTGACAATTGCTTGCGTGTTAATATTCATTTATAGTTAACCACAAAAGTACTAACAAATAATTTTGTCAACGTTACCAAAATTTTTGCTGCTCATTTCAGATCACCAGCTGGGCAAGAGGAAATTGTTTGAGGTTGTTTGGAGCATGAATGAGTTTCAGTACTTGCACGTTGTTCAGTCTGGTGGGAAATCACGTAATGAATGGAATACAGATTTCTTTGTAAACCCTCCTACTAACGATGCTTGGGTGAAGGTAAGAGAGATTAAACACCGTTGAAATTGTTTTTTACAGGAAATGGTATAAAGGTTGATACAAATTATGTTGATAATTACCAAATTTATTGATTATAGCTGAATAGATCAACTGTTTAAAGAGTAGATAAAAAATATTTGAATTATCAAAAATAACAAGCGCACATTTTACATTTCGCCTAGGTAAAAGACACAAACTTGACCATTGATGACCTCGTGAAGCAGAACACTCTCATCAACATCATGTCATTGGAGGATACAAACACGCCGACAGATTCTGCTAACAGGTGGGCGAAAATTAAACTATTGTTGAACAGAGCAGGTTCGCCAATACTAGCCAACTACAACCTGCGCAAGAAATATTTGCTGGCAATGTACAACGAAAGTTACAACGAGGGTATCACGTACATAGAGACCAGACGAGCTTACGATAGTCAGTTATACGAAATGGATCCTTCGGGAAGAAACAATGCAACTTATGGAAAAAAATATTTGAGTGCAAATTTTTCAATCGAGATACAAGTGGCTTTAGATGCAGCCAAGGAGTTTTCCGATACGCATCCTAGGTTCGTAGGGCATAAAGCCATTGGTTATGCGACCAGAAGTCAAGACGAAACAGCCTTTCAGAGGTCTTTGAATAATACCTTGACCATATTTCAGAGTTATCCTCAACACATGATTGGATTCGATGCCGTCGGAGAAGAAGATGCTGGGTACTCGTCGTTGAAGTTCATCCATGAGTATCTAACTAACTTTCAAAAGGGTCGGTTGCTATGTTCATGCTCATTATTTATCATCGGCATCTTTTGATTTCAGTAGGTACCAGTTTATTTTTATCAAAGTTATTAATCGTTAAAATTTTTATCATTGTTTATTATTAGTAGTAGTATTGTTCTTATGATTATTGATTACTTTTTTGTTTTCAATGATACCGCTACTAAGGATGCACCATATTGTAAATTTTGCGAAAGACCGAATGACCGAATACTAAAACAACTTTCAATTTTGCAAACAATTCAATTTCTTAGATTTAAAATCAAGCTATTGAAAAAACAGTAGGCGATTTATTTCTATCCAACAATTCTTCATTCGAGATAATATTCAAGCTCTTTTTCAGCTTTTTTAATATCTTCGACGACAAAAATGAATGCCACACTAATAAAATTTGCCAAATATTGTTTTAGAATCCAAAAATGATCGTTTTAACGAAAGTTGCTCAATAACCGAAGTCGAATGTATGGTCAGGCCGAACAATCAATTCGTCGCTAACCGCTAATCGTGAATTTTTACACAGCTGTTTGTTGTTACATGCTACATTAACAAGCAATTAAAATGACGACTAAAAATAAAAGTTTGTTTTGAAATAACGATAACAAATATCACATCAATGGCACGAAAAAAAAAAATTCAACAAAATGAATCAATGAAAAAAATTAATAATAAACTAAAGTAAAAATAACTTTAACAAATATTATTATCGAATCTTATTAATCATCAAAAGTTGCACTATTTGGTTTAGTACAAATTCTGTTAAAACCATCATTAGGTAAATAATAATATTATATTATTTATTTAAATTTAAATTTGACTCGAAAACTTAAACATGGACCAGGCGGAATTTCTGTTCAGGCGACCTGATGACTTACACGAAAGATGATGACATAGTGCCAACGTTGGAGAATGCTTACGAATCCATTTTGTTGGCCGCGAAAAGGGTGGGCCACGGCAAGGGCTTCCTCAAAATGCCCTACCTGCGCCAAATAATGAAGGAGAGGAAGGTTGCCGTTGAGGCTTGTGTTGTTAGCAATCAAGTGAGTTGTATGATAATTGTTGCGAATATTGGAAATGTATGTTATTAATCGAATAACCAGATATACATTCACACAAAAACAATATTTTATATTTACCCTTTCATATACACAAGATTCTTGGATACGATCCAGACCTACGCAACCACTTTGCACAAGTTTACCACAAGGAAGGCATCCCAATCGTCCTCGCTCCAGATGATCCTGGCACGATGGGATACGATACAGTTGTTGTCGACTGGTACGTTGCTTACGTGGGATGGGGTTTAGAGCTTGGTGATCTGAAGAAGATAGCCCTCAACTCTCTCGTCTACAACGGATTGACTGATGCCGAGAGAAATGTTGCCATTGAACAAAAGTGGAGACCATCGTGGAATGAGTACATAACTAAGATGAAGAACATCGCATGTGCAAGAGACTTCGCTGCCGAAGCTGCCAAGGAAAACAGGACTGTAAAGTTCGTGCAACTGTTGCCAACTGAGGGCTACGAAAGCGGAAACGTGCACGTGTACGGTCGGAACTTTGAAGTTGCCATCTGTAAGGTACCGAAATGTCGATTTGAATCGATTGGCGATGTGAATGCCATCTACATATCAGACAGGCACATTGTATGCCCCGCTCCCAAGTGTCCCGCTTGTGCTGGCAAATCAACGAAGGTCAGTTTGAAGGTAGCCTTGGATGGAGATAATTACAAGCAGACCAATCTGGATTTCTCGCTGACGTTTGCGGCGGCCGGGAGTAAAAGTTCCTTTACAGCGTCCATTTCTATTACAATAATTGTAAACTTTGTTTATAAATTACTTCCTTAAAATATGAACATCAAACGTTGAGTTGGTTTTTTTAGAATAATCTTAGGTGTGATTTTTAAAAACGTGAACAGTGCAGTGCACTCAATGAAAATAAATTTAATTATTTTTGTTCGTCATTTTTAACTTTTTTATTTGCTGATTATAACTTGATAGTACCATGAAATGCTGAATGGGGAAACACTTAATTTTTTTATAAATAAAATAATATAAAAAAATAGTTTGTGATAGTTTACACATGTTCATAAATTAAGCATTAAACAAAGGATCCACCTTTAAAAACAAATAGTCATTTAATGATCAACGCTATCTATCGTATCATTGTCTGATCGTTTTTAATGAATAAATTTTCAAGCAACACGAACTATCATGATTTGAGTATTGTAGGATGTAGGTACACCAGGGCGTATTTATCGGCTTAAAAGGGAATATTTAAAAAAAAATTGTGTTATACTCATGTGTAATTTGCAAACACACACACCACACACACGCACACACACACACTATTAATTTATTCAAATAAATTCATGATACATAGTTTAGGCACGTAGATACATATCCATGGATATGTATCTATGTACATATCAAACTATATCTCCATATATTATTTTGTAAATAATATAAAAATAAGTTAAAAAATTGTATTAATAAAATTTGGATTTAAATTAATATTAATTAATTTTTAGTTCTTTTAAAAATAATTTAATAACTTATGTTAATTTATAAACAGTCCAACATTTGCATTATTCTTTGTTATGAAGGAGCGATATATTTTATTATAATAGCTGTAGCTGCCGTAGAGCTAATTTGCATTTTATATTCGAATTATCAGCAAATTCGCCAACAAAGTCCGGATTTTGTTGCTAAATTCATTTAAAAGTAAGTTGCGATGAATTTTTTCGACTTTTTATTTAATTTCTATCATTTTTTACGTTTGCACATTGCCGTCCGTAAGCTTCGAATTTAGTATAATTTATAAATATATGGCCGCCCACCGAGCCGTGCTTTCAATTATCTGCCTGTGTCGTCACAAAATATTATTATCAACATCTATTATCTCGTAAATATATTAATTAAGGTCCGCCGACTTTTTTATTATTCATAATATTTTATTATTTATTATTATTAATTAATAATTAATAATGTGTCCTCGTGACGTTTTTATACGATGACGTCCGCCATATATTTTCGTGAAGTTTCGTTTGCGGGTTCGCAGACTGTTTTTTTTTAGAAATTTTGACGTGGATTGATTAAAATTTGCAAATCATTGAAACATGCCAAATAAATTAATTAATGTATATTTTAACCATTTTATTCTGCAATCTTTTTTTTCTACCCCACTGCTGAAATTTCCCAATGTATATTTTAGATTAAATTAGTCAAAAAAGGTTCGGTTCTTTGAGAGACTCTGAATAAAGCCATCCACCTTCCATTGCCCATGAACATTTTATTGAATTAAATTTATTTTAATTCTGATACATGAAGCAATAGCAACAGTTGATGGTCTTTGTTGGTCTTGTTCTACCATTTGACTTGTTTTCCATTTTCATTGCATGTTTGTTTGGAAACACATCTTATCTACTTGAATGTAACATGATGAATGCAACTTGTAAATTGTAAAAAGCATTATCAGAATGAAACAAATGCTGTTTGAGAATTAGACATATGTAGGGGCTGTAGATCAACTTCAGGATTTGTAGAAATGTTATGGTAGGCTATAGCGAGTCAGTGGGTAATTTTAATTGAATAGAAAGGTGTTATCTTTTATTTTATTAGGATGTGTGATGAATTTGACACTGCTAAATTATTATAATAGTGCCTGGTGATTGTATTGTATTGAATAAAATATTATTTACTCTTGGTGATTTGTAATTTGTTCATATAATATAATGCGATAAGGTTTGTATACACGATACACTTGCATAGTAATTATAATGTAATAATAAGGAAAAATAAAGATAGTATATGTGATTTTCATGATAGTTTGTTTTTATTGATGTTGAAAATTAAAGATTCAATAATACATTGTTAGGTTAAGATTAATTAATTAGAAACCATTCTATTTTGAATGCAGGTATGGATGTGAAAAACTCCAGCAAATGTTTGAATGACCAGTTGAATAGCATTGACATTAAACCTATCACATCTACAATTATAAAACAAGTTGTTATAAAACATACTATTATTATTTTATTGTTACTATTAACTATTTATTCATTTTGTTTATTATTTGATAACATTTAAATAGGGATTTTGTCCTGATGGATTTGTCGTATTGATATGATTATAAATGATTTTTAGGATGTGATGTTGTCTGGCTCTAACAATCAAGCATCAGCATCAACCAACATTTCCATCAACAACATCAGCAACAGTAATAACAACAATGCAACAACCATCACACACAGCCACATAGTCAACAACTCCAACAACAGTGAACATTCGCTAACGAATCACATCCTACAAAACCAGCAAGCCATCACAGTTGAAAATCTCTTTTCAGCGTTACAGCAGCAGCAACAACAACAACAAAATAAGAGTGGTAATAACACAGAAATGTCAAAACAAGCTGAATTAAACAGTCAAGCAAGTCTGTTGGGCCTCATTGTATTACTAAGATTATTTGTTTCCTAAAAATTTAAATTTATTTGTTAATATATAGTAATTTTGTTTGGGAGTATTCATTTATGCATATTTGATAATGTAATTTTTTAAAGACAGCTCATTTGTTCAAGCCTGATGTTCAGAAGCATTGATTTCTATATTGCATATGTATCAATATTAATTTATCTGAATTTAACTAATGCCTAATTTTGAAACTATTGAAAGATTTGCTAGCTGGGCTGCAGACTTTGACTCCTACGTTGCTGACAAACCACCACCAACAACAGCAGCAGACCAATCAGGTAACACCTCAACTGCTGGTAGCCAATCAGGCTGCTCTAGGATTGGCTCAAGGTGGCTCAAACCCAGCACTCCCACATCTCTTGATTCCTGTCTCTGCTGGAAACCTCAATCAACAACTTCTTTCTATTCCTATCTCATTGGCTACAGCAAATCTCAGCAATCAAATGCAGCTGCTGACTGCTTCCAATGGACAGCTGATAGCTGCTAACATGCCCTCACAGCCTTTAACCTTTGCACTTCCACAAGCTAACAGTTAGCAAGCAATTTTTATGTTCTTGTGTTGTAACAGCTCTTCAAATTAATATTTATGTACATTTTGGTAAATATTAATTACATACTATCTGATTCAATTTCAACAGCTGGAACACCATTGCAGCCTTTTTTCATGCTTGGCTCACAGCTTGGAGTCTTAAGTATTGCATTCAATTTTATAGTCTTATTTTTATTCCCTGTCATGTTTGTTTTAGATTAAGGCTTATTGAAACTTTTCAAAATGATAAGTGGAAATAAATGTAAAAGAAATTAAGCTGAATATAAACATCTTTTATTAAAATATTTATGTAGCTATAATAATTTTTAGCACAAACTCACTCAATTCAGTGCCACAACTAGCCCAGAGTGCCAATCAAAACATACAGAACCTGGCTTTTCGACAACTCCTCTCACAGCAGCAACAACAACAACAGCAGCAGCAGCAACAACAAAATTCAACAAACTCAACAAACAATCAGACAAATTCGGCTGCTGCTGCCCTAATTAATCCAGCTACTAATCTGACCCAGTTAATTACGAATGCACAGGGTCAAATAGTTGCTATTGGCAACCCTCAGGTAAATTTTTACCTCCAAATAGTTTATTTTCATTTTGCTTTTTGCGATTTTTTCTAGATTTGTAAGTTTATTCTCAATTTAAACTCCTTATTCAGTACTGCTATAACTGTTTTTTCAGCTGTTGCAGCAGACATTTGCAGCAGTCATTGCCAACAGTGCCAACAATGCAGGTAACAATCAACCAGCCATCAACATAGCTAACATGAACAACAACACAACTGTCACTAACAACAGTGCTCTCAACAATAACAAACTTTTACAGCAAGGCATCAAAGTTGACACGAAGCAACTTACACTGCAAGTGACTACTACTCCATCCACAGCCTCAAACACCACAGCGACAACGACGACAGTAGCGTCATCCAATCAATCACAGATGACAACAAAAATATTAAACAGCCTTCTCTCTCTGACTCCATCTGCCAGTGAGGCCAGCAGTACCAATATCAGCTCCTCATTGTCCGACACAAACGTCACATCCCCATCAAAATTTATTTCACAAGTTGCACAGGCCATCCTACTAACAAATCCAGCTGCTTTAGCTGCAGCAGCTAATCAACAGAAACAGCAGCAACAGCAGCAGCAGTTAATCACCACTTCACCTATTTCTATTTTCCCAGTTACATCTTCTACAAATTCTCCACCGACATCTTCACTAGCTAGTCCCGGTCTAACTCCAAACATCAATCAATTGCTGCCTAGTTAGAACAATTTTTCTATTTTTTGAGTTTTACGCTTGCCTCATTTTATTTTAACTCCAATATTCTTTTGGTGCAGTATCTGTGTGAGATATTTTTAATTGAAAAAAAAAATGAAATCTGTAAATATTTTTCTCAGTAAAAATATAGATCATAAAATTTATATGCAAATATTCACATCATGCTATTTATTATGATGATTTGTTAATGGTAATTTACTGAGAATTACAATATAACTAGTGGTAAAGTTTTTTAAACGAACACTATAAATTAATGAATAGATTACAAATGAAGATGATAAATATGATCAACACATTAAAACATTTATAATACTAACCTCATCATTTACAGACACAATCAGTAGTTCAAGAGAATTAGGAACCATTGTCGATGGAGTGAATCTTGATGAGATGAGAGAGTTTGCCAAGCAATTCAAATTGAGGCGTTTGTCACTTGGCCTCACACAAACACAAGTTTGCATCTTATTCTATGTGATTTTGAGGATGGTTTCATTTAGAGTAACTTAAATAGTACCTTTTTTGGCAATGTCTGAGTAATAGCAATAAAATTTTTTTAGAAAGTTTTCAAGTTTTATTTCTGCTCAAGTAAAATATATATTACAATAATTTTCTTGTTTTTTAGGTTGGACAAGCACTGTCCATCACAGAGGGACCTTCATACAGTCAGTCTGCTATCTGCAGGTCTTGAACCTTACTTATTCTCTCTATCTGTTTTTAACACTAACTGATTCATGTCACAAATATTTATTTGTTGGTTGAATATTCGTACATACAATCTTGCTAAAAAAATTTGAAGTATTCTTTGAGGTGTAACATTTGAAATTGTTAGTACAATAGTTATATGTTACGTTCGAAAACATTGAATCAATCATTAAAATTTAAAATTTTTTCAAAACATTACGTAGGTTTGAGAAACTCGACATTACGCCGAAAAGTGCACAGAAAATCAAGCCAGTGTTAGAGAGGTGGATGACTTTGGCGGAGGAGAGGATGAAGAATGGAGGGCAATCTCTTCCCGACTACAACGGCTTCGAGTCTTCAAAGAAACGAAAACGGAGAACATCTTTCACTCCTGGTGCTATTGACGCTTTAAACGACTCCTTCGACCAAAACCCTCATCCAACTGGTTTGTTTTGGACTTTTTTTTATATGAGAAGCTGTACTGTCTCTTGTTAAATTATATTAATATTTTGTCGGTGTGTAATTGGATTTACAATCATTTTTATAGCTTCTATTTTTGTTCACATAAATTGTTAAAATTAGCAAAACAAATTATTTTTAGATATTTTATTTATTTTCTACTATTATTTATCTTGTCTAGGCACGGAGATGTCTGAGTTGGCTGACAGGTTGAAGTTTGATCGTGAAGTCATTAGGGTATGGTTCTGTAACAAACGACAAACTCTTAAAAACACAATCAAAAAAATTAAAGTACCGCCATCACCAGAGTCTTAGTATTTTTTTAATGTTATATTTATTTTATTTTTTGTTTTTTTATATTTTTAATTTAACGTATCAAATATGTTCTGACTTTATGTATATATAAATCTGTAATATTCTAAAATTTAAAATAATTATTACATATATGCCTTCTCTTATTGTTAAGATTTATTAATTTGGAATATGTCTTTTGAGTTATTTATGCTGGTTCATTATGCATGTGTGTAAATGCATTTTTTTATTATGTGTGAAAATGTTAAATATTGAAAATATTACATTTATCGTTTAATGTAAAACTTGTATATATATGTTCACAATGTTCACAATATGTTCACAAGACATGTTGTGTCTTGTTTAGCAGTTTGTGTATTATTTTGCATTGAGCAAACCACAGTTGCTTGGTTTTTAGGTGGTCACGTTTGTTAACTGTCTATGTTTTAAAAAGGTAAAATATAACACATGTTTTTATGCGAATTGTAGATTTTTCTAGTTGCAAATTCCATTAATGAACTTTAAAAAAAATCATCCTTGTCTTTTCATCACCATGGTAAAACTATAAACCACGCATCTTAACTTTCATATACAAGAAATATTAAGTAATAAATTATTACCATATGTGACATGTGAACGGGGTTTTGTTGTATTTGTTTTTTTTTTTCGTTTTCCTCTCAGTTTTAAAAAATACTTTTTGCTCTAGAAAGTTATAAAAAAATAAAAATATAAATCAGTATGTTTAAAATGATCACATTCAAATAGATACTAAATACATTGCGAGAGAAGTTCAATCAGACGTTGACGATCATGTTTCAATCCTGAATTTATGCATGTCTTTTTTCATTTTAAATTTTCCACCGTTGTTAATTGATTAGATGTCATTCATTTTTTGTTCCATTTCGATAATACGCCATCATCATTTGCTTCAAGTTGGAGAGGTTTGTTATGTTTACTGTAATCAAAATGTGTGTAATCGCGTTATTTCTTATAATTCACACCTTCAAAACTGTTCAAAGTTCAATTGCTCTATTCATTAAGATGTGTGTTTGTGTGAGTGTGTGTGTCATAATGATCTGGGATTTGTTATAATTTGTTGTTTCCTAAATGTTTGTTTCGTTTGTATACATACCATTAGTAGATATAATTGGCAATTTTGTGCTGGTTATGTTTGCTTGTTGTGATTAAATAACTGAATGACAATGTCCATACGAATATCATTTTATTCGAGATTTGTTTATTATAATTAAAATTTTTAGCACGTAATTTTGTCTGTAGAATGAAAATTTTTAAATTAAAAATTTAAATTGAAACACGAGATTTTATTTATTTCAAATTTCCACTCAGAAATTGTTATTTAAAGAATTAATTTAGCTTAATTGCAAATAAAGAATGTTAATTACTTTATGAAAACACTCCAGAATTTTTCAAAAACAACGATTATGAAATTTTAAAAAGTTATCAGAATAAATTAGACTTCTCACATAGACAAATCACACCATTTTTATTCTTTCTTCCTATTCACTCTCTAAAATAATGGAATGTCATTTTCGTCGTCATCATGCCTGAGCCATCAAGATCAACGGATATTGGAACAGTCTTGTTCGCACAGTCAGAACAAGGCGGTACTGTACACGTTAAATACTGATTCGATTCATAAATCGCCTCGACAACTTTTTCGCCAATTTTACATTTTGGAGTTTTGCAGATCGCTCGTTCGAAGTTGCGACCGTAAATATGTAAGGTCGTGTTTTCTCTACCAGTATTTGGGAATGATCTTGCAAATCGAACGTTACGATTGGCTCGTATTGCCTCTGCTGTGAAATTTTGCTGGCATGCTTCATTGGAAACTTCATTCACGAATGCTTCCCAGCTCGGACGCCATTTTTGTTCAATGGCGATTTTTCTTTCTTCATCTGTCATACCGTTATATGTTAGAGAATTGACTGCGAGTTGCTTCAGGTCGCCCAGATTTAAACCCCAACCCGTATAAGCTTGATACCAATCGGTGGTAAAATTGTCGTACCCGAAAGTACCTGGATCATCTGGAGAAAGAATTATTGGGACCCCGTTCTTGTAAAGGATTTGTCCAAAGTGGTTTCGTAAATCTGCATCCATACCAAGAATCTTCATATTCAAAATTAATATTAAAGTTTAAATTTAATTAAATAAAAAAATATTCATGCGTATTTAGTTCACGGAATCTCACCTGGTTACTGATAACACAAACTTCAACGGCTATTTTCATTTTCTTCAGCAACTGCATTAAATAGGGTTTTTTGACAAACCCCTTTCCGTGTCCAATTCTTTTGACATTCAGCAAAACAGCTTCGTAGGCATTTTGCAAGGTGGAAACCGGATCGTCTTCAAACGGCCCGGTAATCAAGTCATCGGGCCAACTCGTTTCGGCAGCGTGAAGATAGAGTGGTATAATTTTGACTCCGTTCTTTTGTAAAGAGAGATATTGACTGATGTAATGAAGTGTTGAGTAGCCCTGGTCTTCTTCAGCCACTGCATCAAAACCAATAAGATGTTGGGGATATTTGGTGTGCAGCTGTACAGCAAGGTTCATGTTTTTTTCAAAAAGTTCGTAATTTAGAACACGAACAGTGTATGAAATTCTTTTGTAGTCTATAAAACTGGGGTATTTTTCTTTAATTTGTTTTGTTATTTTCAACGCTAATTCAATTTCTTTAGTCGAATCGGGATCTAAAAACTTTTTGCCGTTCGTACTGTTACTTTTACCAGAATAGTCGAGTTCGTACAATTCCATATCGAGACCGAATCCTCTGCGACCTTCAATGTACGTCACTCCTTCTGAAATACTTTGCTCTATGATGGCCGTAAGATATTTTTCTTTTATTTTGATGTTGGAGATGAGTTGAGTGGATCCCCTCATCCAAAGTGGATTGATCCTGCTCCACCTTCTCGAGGCGTCGGTCGGATTGTTCGTGTCTTCCTCCGTCATCAGACCAATCAACGTATTCATTGTCAGGATTTTTTCCAAAGTATATTCAGAACCTTTGACCTAGTTCAAAATTCATTATTTAAATTTTAAAACCGATAATTAGTTAATGTGAATAATAAATATAAACTTTAATCCAAGGTTCATTTTTGGGTGGATTGATAAAGAAGTCCATATTCCAAGTGTTTGATGAGTTTTTTTTTGGATCAACTATGTAAAGATGATCAAAATCATCTGATGACCAAACTATTTCAAACAATTTTCTTTTGCTCAACTGATGGTCTTTTAAAAATAATTTTATTGTTTATAAATTGTAAATAAATAAAATGTTTGTTAGTTTACCTTCGTGGGAATGAACATTGCCACCTTTTGGAAGCTTACGAAGAATTTGATAGAGTTTGGAAAGTTTGATGCTCTCGATTATTTTCTCAATGGGCCTTGAAGCTGGAAAGCCCTTTTGTTTTGTATTCATCATATCCAACCATTTCAAATACCCTAAATAATTGTTCACAACCTTTTCGTTCTACGATATAAAAATATAATAAATCATATTAACTTCATGAATTCGCAAAATTTAAAAAATAAATTTTTGAAGATATGGAATGGAATTTAGAATATAATTTACAAACCGCTGTGAGAACAAAATCTCTTCCTTCAAAAACTTTTTCTTCTCCGATCATATTATTTCTTAAATTAAAGTATTCAAACTCATTTTCTGGTAGCATGGAAATTCTACCAGATAATGGAACGCTTTGTAAAAGCCCTATAGCCAGGAAGACGATAACTACGACCATGAACATCATTGACAAGTTGCAGATCAGATCCCAAATGTCCTGTCGGTTGACCAACGTTTAAAGCCACTTCACCTTTCTTATTTATACTATTTAACGATAGTCAGCTAATGTTATCCAATCAAAAATACATTACACACAATTACATTACACGTATATATGTAATACATACATTTATACACAATGTATATATAACACAAATTAATATATTTAATATACATTATATATATAAATATATATATATATAAATATATATATACATATACATATATATATATATATATATATATATATATGGCTGGTACATGGCAACAAACGTCAGCGGTTGAACCTTCATCGATTAACATCAGCATGACTGATATAAGTTTCAGTAAAACGGTTACCAACTTGGGAATTGTGATGGACTCCCGTATGACAATGGGTCCACAAATCAGTCTATTGGTTAAAAAATGTATGCTCCAACTACGTCAATTACGTCAAGTCACAAAATCGGTAGATAGAGATACAATGACTCTATTAGTACATGCTTTCGTCAACTCTAGATTGGATTATTGTAACAGTCTTCTATGTGGCATAGCTGATAAACTGTTGTCTAAACTTCAGGTGGTTCAGAATCAGGCTGCTAGAATGATATATCGCAAATTAAAATTTGATCATGCATCACCAATTCTAAAGGAGTTGCATTGGCTGCGTGTTAAACAAAGAATCATGTTCTAGTTTGAATGGTCTGGTTCCGAAATATTTAGAAAATAAGTGTATTCGAGTTTCATCTATGTCATCACATGGGCGTCTAAGGTTTGCTGATTCAAACACGCTGTATGTTAGAGATCGGAATCTGAAAACAGCAGATAGAGATTTTGCAGTTGTTAGGCCTATTTTTTGGAACAGCCTACCTATCGAACTACGTATATCCGGGTTATCATTAGCTGAGTTTAGAAAACGTCTAAAGACATACCTATTTGGTAACTCCTAGTGATCTCAACCGATGATGGCTTCGCTTTCAACATGCTTCATACGGGGAGAGCGCTGATGAGAAGCAATTATAATTGGCGCTATGTAAATACAATATTTGATTTGATATATATATATATATATATATGTATATATATATATATACCTCTAGTCAATTAATTATTCTCAAAGTATTTTTTCCGCTCCAAAAAATTCAAAGCTTTCGCAATTTTTAAGACGTTTTTGTTTTAAGCGACGTTAGTTAGCGAATGTTTTATTACTTTGAAAATTAGGATGTTTTTTTTTCATTAAACTTTCTCATTAATTATTTTTTGAGTTCAAGTAATTAATTTTCACAAACAAATTGTTTGTTCTAAACACGAATTTTTTGCAAAATTTTGCAAGAAATCGACTTTACAAGACTTTTTTGATAAATCAAAAGACTACGACTATAAGTGATTTAATTAGAAACATCATCTAAAAAAGGAGCGCGCTATTGATGAACCAGTTTTTCTTCCATTAAACTCAATGTTTGTGTTAGACGTATCTGACTGATGACAGGAACATTTTCATTCAAATTCTCGACAAACACGAAAACGGGCATATGTGAATTCTTTTATTTGAAAAAATAGATTGTGCTGAACTTATAATTTAATGCATGCAACATAAAAATGTATTCAATCAATATATACAAGTATAAATTAATGTTGTTTTTGATGGATTTTTTGAAATGAAGTGCAGAGGTTTTCATCTTAAACAGTTTATAGAAATCTAAGAATCCAACCACCAATTGTATGTTCGTGATATTATTTTTTAAGAAAAGGCAAGATTCGTGAAAAGGCAAGTTAGACATTAGCAAACTTATTTGTAAACGTTGCATTTTGGGCTATTGCCAACTAAAGTGGCCCTATAGCCTTACCATAATAATTCCAAATATATACATAGCTTCGTTATACGAGCGTTTTAGCAAGAGAACAATCACTCACATAAATTTTCACTTGAACATCACGTTTCTGTTGATGTAAATTATCGATTATTCAAATCAAATAGCAAATTGTTTTGTTAGTTGTTTACTTTTTCTAACTTTATCCTGGTCTCGTCACGCCATCTTCAATTAATGTAAACAAAATCCCGACTAATTTAAATTGTTTTTAAAAATATTTAATCTCACATTAACACTGTTTTTTGAAAAATGTTTCGTTGTCACGGTCGACAAATACTTCATGCATCTATTTATCTTCGTCTTCATTCCTACTCAGTATCAACTGAAACTTCTAATTCATAGCATTCACTGATTAAATACACAATAGAATAGATCACATTATAGAACACACAATTCGTTTTAAATTAAACGTCGTAACTTGTAAGGTAGATGATTCGCACTAGATATCGAGTTTGTTCAGCTGGATGGGTTTGTCTAGGTTCCTCTTGAATAATAATTGTGAACATATCTTTTCAAAACCATCAAAAATGCAACTTTTTCATTTGTAGGTTTTTAAATTTCTAAAAAATGTCAGGTTAAGAAGAAATGTTTATGTTAAAAAACATACATAGGTGAAAGTGTTGTCTTTCAAGACGCTAAGTTGAAACATCCTCTAGCCACTCTTAATTTTAAATGGAACATCGCTTGTTGTAAGCTGGAGATTTGCTTGACGACACGTGCACAGCTCCACCACAGTTGTTACACGTGTTATTATTATATTAATAATTTCTACAAGAAGTATTATATTCAGAAAAGTAACTATTTGAAATTCTTAAAAGCCGCATAGTATCACCAACGCGTCGCATCTTAGCATAAGACACACGCATTGTAAGCTTATAAATTTAAAAATTTTAAAAATTTACAAAAATCTTATGTATATGGTGTGGCTGCAGCTAAAAAATTTCTTTTAAGAATAAAAAATCGAAACAACGGTATGAAGTTTAATTGTCCTAAAAAAACAAGGCACGAGAAAGAAAGAAAGAAGAATGTTTTAAATTTTTGAAGTTTTTACATGAATTTCCGATGAATCCGGTGACAAAGTAAGAACAGTATGCAATGTTTATATGACCATTATATATTGTATTCATGCATGGATAAACGTTTTGTTTAGCACTACATGGTTTTTGTTTACACAGTCTATGTAGCAGCAGCTACTCAATTTTTTGTTTGGAGGAAACAAAAAAAGCAGCATATATAACCACACCGAAAGCTGTAACTTTCTTTGTTTGATATATATAAATATACATTATATATATATATATATACATTTATGTGTGTGTGTGTTCGAGTGTTGTTCAAAAATTAAATCTAATACAAACCTTTTTTATGAAATTGTAACGAAAGACGACGTGCATTTTCTTAGTGCTGCACATATCTGAGGATATAATATACTAAAACGTGAAGTTCCTAAGTTAATAGCCCCGACGAATTGCTTGTTATATTAACAAATAATTAACCATGTTGCAAGTACAATAGCTTATATATCCGGAGTTTTAATTGTTCATTTTGCTGGAGAATGAATAAATTCAGTGCAATTGCGAATCACCTGTTTATAAAATATGTTAATCTTACGCGTGTTGTATCATTTTAATGTTGAGTTTGCGTATGTAGTTTTTTCATTTTATATATCTTTTTAAGTCAACTGTTTATAAATCATATGCTCGTTATGAATTATTCGTTCAGGAGAATGTTAGATTGTCTTCTTTTAATTCCGTCAACCATTTTTAGGATGCAATTTTATTCTGACTGCAAATATAATCAAATTTAATGTAATTTAACAATGCACATTTTTGTTTTCGACAACCGCAACTAACGTTTTCACTTTTAAACACTCTTACTAACTGCTGACGTATTTACATTTTACAGGATTGAATTACAAATTTTAAATTAAACAAAAATTCTTCAGATTTTTTATCAGATCATATGACTTCTTATTGCCTACAGGATGTTAACTAAGTAATAATGGAAACAGAAATTGTTGTTGTTATTGAAATGCTAATTTTTGGAAGAACGTCTTACGTAAACAAAGCCAAAACAAATACGCACACACTCGTAAGCACAAATATAACCATTCATACATCTGCTCTGAAAGCGAGACTAACTCATTCATAGCAAAATCTTCTATTAGCTTTTATTTCATCCAATGGAAAACCTGATATATAGGTCAACGGAAACAGTGCTAATTTGCTCAACAGAATATATATAAGGTTTATATATATATATATGTATATATATGTATATATACACATTTTTTACATGTACATACATACATATATATGCTTAAGAGAAAAAAATTCTCGCATTGAAAAATATCAAACATCGAAGAACATTTGACAGCCGACCTGTCATACATATTTCGAATGACATAAACTGAAACATTAATTTTTATAACCACGACAAGGTAACATATGAGCATGTGCAACATCAAGCAAGCAACAAATGAGGTGGTTGTTCTTTTAATTCTCAATTATTGTTAATATTATTATTATAACCGCGGGAATGGTTGTATTACGCTATATAATTAAACATTGTTATTTTCATGGATATATATAATATGGATATGGCAGAAGCGTTATATATACATACATTTTTCATATATATATAACATCAAGGTAAATCTAACAAATTTGATGCATAGAATAGCAATAATTGTTTAAAAGTGAATTTAAGTTAAAGGAAGTAATCAGTTTTTAACCGATCATCGTCTGTCATTTTCTTGTTTGTTTAATTATTTTATATACGTTAAGTTTAACCATGCCCATGTGCTCAATATCCAAATGTCATGGGTCTTATAAAGATATCGGCGTAACTTTACATAGGTATGTATAATTAATATAATAATAGTAAAATTTTAACATAAAATAGTTGAGCTTTTTTACAATAATAAAACCAAACCAGACTACCAAAAGATGACAGTCAAAGAATACAGTGGGAAGGGAATATAAAAAATCATATTACAAATTTTTGTAGTAGAAAAAATATCTTCATCTGCAGTAGGCATTTTTTACAAGAATGCTTTTACAAAGTAGGTTCTAAAATGTTGCTCAAAAAAACATTAGTTCCTACAGTATTTCCAAAGGTTTTGTTCTTTTTGTAACTAATAAAAAATTTCTAATTTAAATAGTTTAAAAAAAATTAAACTAACATTAAGATTAACATTAAAATAAAGAAATAACTAATTATTGATGCATCATGAAAAATGAATCACTAATTAATTAATTGCAAGACACTAACATATTATAGTTAGTATATTAGATATTTGTTCCTGCAAATCACACAATCAAGTATATTGAATATTTATCATTTTCAGATTTTATCAAATGATCAAGCAGATACTCTATCTGAAATGCAATCACCAATAATGATGGAGAAAAAATCAACTGATGAACCAGTATGTTTGTTTAAATATAAAATTTACTTAGATTAATATATCACTGATTGCATGTGCTACAATTAATATTTATTTTTTTTATTTTATGTCAATAAGAAGATACACATATGTAAGTACATGTTCAAGGTATTTATTTCACAAAGTTTATGATGAATCTACCACACATACTTTGATGCATACATTCATTCATGTGTAATATTCAAACTTCAGATAGAAAATGTTGCATCTTTAGAAAATGTTGCAGTTTTAAAAAGTTTTAACAAGAATTATACTTTCAATCCAATCTTTTCCAAAGCTTCAAGTGCATTCAATACAAGAACTTGTTGCGTGGTTGCTGACATGCTTTTGAACAAAAAGTAAGCAAGGGGAAACTTCCATGAACCTGACATACCAACTATCATTAAAACCAGGGCCTGTGTTGCCAATTCATTGGATGTGTAGTCTCCACCGAAATGTTCATAACCGGAATAGACACCTTTATGTTTTAAATATATCAGTTGTTCCCGAATTCACATACTATCTTTCATCAAAGAACAGTGTGTAAATTGTTTTGTTTTTTAGATTTTTTAAAGTTATTTTATCAATGTTACCTGAATGTTATTATTGTTCAAATACAGGTAGTGACGCTGGTGATGGATGGCTTACGAACAAACATTGTTATGTGCATAAAACTTGGATGTGTCTTTGATTTGCCTACCTTTGTCAAACCATCTTTTAAATTACCATCAACTAATAGAGAAACGTATGTAATATTTGATGCCTGTCAATGTTGAAACTTGTCCGTAACACATGGGTTGATAAAAAAATTTTAGAATCAAATGGTGGTTTAATTAGATGGGAATACATATGCAAATTACATTCTGCACAGTACACGACCATTTAGATATTGATAAGTTTAAATCTAAGTATTGTCAAAAGAATATGATGTATTATGTATTTTACAAATTTTTTATCTGCAAATTTAACAAACATTTATTTCATTAAAGATGTAAATATTTTTGTAAAATGTTTTGAAAATAATTTTCTCAATAATAATTATTTTTTATTATGCTGAACTTCACTGCACCCCAACAGTATTTGAGCATAATAAATTAGCAATAATAATTTTATACATATACATATTTTTTATATTATGAAATATAATAATGTTTAATTATACTAAATAGTTGATTGATTTTAATTAAATTCCATGTCGATCAGTTTCAACTAAGTTCATTATATTAATAGTATTTGATGCAGGGTCAGTAATTTTTTTGTTTTTGCCATTTACGTTTTTTAAAATTTATGTCTTCATATATCACTTAGTCCATTTACTTTCTTTTTTTCAATGAACAACTTAACAATTTATTGGAACATATTGTGCCTTGATTTTTAGCACCACTACATGTACATATAAAATAACGGTTAGCCTCTAGCTTCTAGCATCATCCAAAAGATGTTTCATTTTAGAAAAATTAAACAAAATGTATAAATGTCAATATTAAAATAATTATGAACATCCATTTATTTGCCAAAATCCTGAATCATAATGATTAATTTGTCATTAAATTCTGAATTAAACCTTTATTTTATAACATTTGTTCAGATTTTAAAAAAATTTATAATTTGATGACATTGAAGATAACTGCACTTGTTATTAATCCAGGTGGATGAATGTATGTATCAAAGTGTATGTGTAGTAGATTCATCCAAAAGATGTTTTATTTCCAGGACAATTGAGTAAAATGTATGTATGTCAAATATTGAAATAAATATGAACATCCTTACATTTTGCCATAAATTTTCCAGAATCAAAATCTAAAATTATTTTATTTTCAAAAAACAACCTCTATTTGATAACTAAGTCGGTAGAGACGAAAAAAGCGACTTATTTAAATGTTATGATATAAAAAAACGAAAACTTCGTGTAGGCGATTAAATTTAAATTTTAAAACAGTAAAACGAAATGTCAACTACAATGAAGAAATGTTTACGCTCAAATTATGTTCTCTATTCCATAGAACTAAAAAAAATTATTAGCTGGGAATTAATTCTTGTGCCATATCCACTATATCCATGGTTATTTTGTTATATTTGTAATCTTTGCTACTTGTCATCAATTGTAAAACCATAGAATTTTTTCATACCATAGAAGATAGTAACGATCTACTATAGAGGCTCTATGAGGTGTGGCGAATAGCGAAGTGGGTAGCGAAATTTGAAGTGTAGTTGTAATTGTGATTATTGCAGTTACTTGGATTAGTTTAGTATTTCTACTATTGTTGGCATTCAAATAAACGTTCAACCAAGTTAGCGTTTGAAGCAGTTGTGTCCATCTATCGGAAATCTTAAACCTACGGATTAAGGATAGCTTGACGATCGTTGGAAGCTACAACACCCGGTGTTGGAAATATAGAGAAGTTTAAAGCTTATAACATTGGTGTTGGTAGTAAAGAGCGTTTAAGTGTTACAACTGTATGTTTGGCGGGACAAAACTGTCGGGAGCAAAGGTCAATTGCTCTGTCCACATATACACATCTCGTATTTAATCCGTTTCGAAATAAAATCGCCTAATTTCTTTTATTCAATTCACTCGGCTCGAGTCCCAACTTCGTCTCGCCCGTATATTAAGTTGGCTGGCTTGAAACTAGAGATTACACAAGCGTTTTTTACACAATCTTTAAAATGTATTTGATTATATTATTTGAATATTAAATACTATATTACACATTTTTCAACTCTTCAAACCTACAAGAGCCAACGACGTACTCACCGATTAAAAATGGAAATTTTCCACACTCATTAGAATATTATCTTGAGAAACACAATTAGCACAAGAATAAATATACGAATCATAGAGACATGGAAAGAAAATGTAAATGTCAGTCGGTAGCAGAAAAGAACACACATTCAACAGTCAAATCCATTACCATATTTCTCTTCATTATTATTATACATAAATATAAAATTAAAAAAAAATACTATCACTGCACATATAAGAATGTAATTTAATTGTTAGCAAGCACATTAAGAGAGTTCCTTCTTTGTTTTGTTGTAGTCATATTTGCTGTCTTCCTGACTATTAGTGATGAATTCGTTGGTAAACGTTTACGAATTTTTGGCCAAATGTTTCTTCACACTGCAGGGATAGATAACCAGTAAAAAAATTTCAGATTAGTTATTAATAAATATAACTATAAATAATAAAATGCATACATAAACCCTGAAATCAAAGCATATTATATTTAATAATCATAACTATAAAAGGAAATTTAAAAAAATAAATACACAATATGATTTAGACATTAAAAAAATATCAAAAACCAGTATAGCATTTACGCAAAAGTGAACATATGGCATGCAAGCATGAATCAATCCCGTTGCTAACCTCATCTGAAGCAGGTACTGGGCATTAGCAATCTGTTCAGGATTACCCTTAATTGTGATGATGCGATCACTCTTTCCTCCATCGGCGTCATCTAGGTCCACCTCAGCTCCCGTATCCATCCTTATCTTCCTAATGTTCGATCCCTGCTTCCCTATTATGACTCCTGCAAGCTAAAAGCAAATAATTTTTTGTTGCATTGTTAAAAAACAGATGTACGGCTAGTTACTTCACTACAGGATAACATGAAAATCCCTAATTAATTAAAATTTTAATGTTACAGTTAGTGACGTAGATAGGTAAAAATGCAAAACCAACCTCAGCTGGAATGCTGACTTGCTGGGTTGTTTTCAGACAGCTTAATAAATCAGTAATTCTGCCTGGATTGCTGGAAAATCAAATGAAATAATTAATTAGAACAACTAAGAAAATTATTTAATTGATACTTGGGACAATTCTTAGTGTATGATGCAATAAATAAATAAATTTAAAAAAAAATAAAAAAGGAACAAACCTAGGAACGGGAGGGTAGATGTCATCACGATCCCTATCTCGACCTCGGTTTCTGTTGTTGTTGAATCCTCCGTAGCCACCTCCGCTACCCCTTCTGTCAAAATCTCGATCCCTTCCTCCACCTCTGTCACTTCTACCCCTGTGGCATCATCATTTTATAAACAATACTAAATAATATTGATGGTAAAAAACAACAAAACCTTAATTTAAAAAGAAATATATATATATATATATATATAGAGAGAGAGAGAGAGAGACAAACAAACCTATCCCTTCTTCCACCTCCTCCTCCAAAACTGTTTCTCTTGCCTTTTCTGTCATCTTCATCGTCATAGTAACCACCATAATCTGGTACCATGTACTCATCATAGTTGGATGGCTCATAGAAATCTATCGGGCCTCTTGGTGGAAACTGCATAATTGTCAATCATTTATTTTGTCAATTAGGGATCTGTTTGAAATTCACCAACAAAACTATTTTAAAGAAAAAGATTCAATCTTATTCTTGAATATTTTATTTCAGTTTGACAGACTTTAAATTTTTGAATAAGTTTTAATTTCTCATTAACATGCTACAAACAGAAAAGGAATGTAATAAAATTATTTGTCTTAAGTATTGTAAGTAATTTGAACAAGGATAAACTAGTTTGCTACAAAACTGTATAAATCAATATAAATATTTACTTAAAAAGCAGTAAACAATCATGACAGCCAACCGGCTTTAAAAGAACCAAAATGTGAAGAATGGCTTTGGCAACGAGTTCTGGCTTGCCAATGACTCTGATAAGTCTTTCAGATGATCTTGGACAACACTCAGGGAAGACTTTAATGTCAGCCTCCAAATCTTTTCTCAGTTCCTTCAACTTACTGGCTGCCTTGCCAATAACACAACCAGCCTGGCTGTTGTGAATCAGGAACTTTAGTTCCAAGTCATCTTTGTCTGTCTTCGATTTATTACCCTAGAATATGTTCACTTCAATTATTAAATATCTCACATAAAAATAATGTGGAATTTGAATAAAATAAATTTTTCGACAAAAGTTAAAAAACTTCTTTAGAACTGGAAAACTTACTTCAACAAGAGCTTTTCCAATATCAGTGATGATGAGTACAAGATTATCTTCATCGCCATCCATTATAACTAACCTGCACCATTCAATATGTTTAACATCAATTTAATTAAATAAAATCAGTTATACGACCAACATAGTCACATGAAGATCTATAGAAAATACATAAATGTATACCTACATAAATTAAAAAGTAAAATCTCAAAATTGAACCAAGAAATATTAAAGCTATGAAAAAAATTTCATTCAATTCACATTAATACATGAACTATACTATACGACTATAATAAAATCGTAATAAAAAAATAAATAAAGAATTGCAAAACAAAAGACGAGAAAGTCACTACAACGTGAAACTCTATCTTGGGCATACCGTTCAGGAGTTCTGCTGTCAGTAACAGTAATGCTGGCTTTATACTATCAGATCAAGGTGGAAAGTTTCGATGTGGACATGGACAGGACAGGACATTACAAAATGGATGGACGGGCCCAAGTTTATTTGACAGGACAAGTCGATTAGAGATTGGACGATACGGAGGCATGAGATGGTGGACAATTAATTATTTATGTAGTGTCATCATAATATTATACAGAGTGGCTCTAGTTAGCGAAATGAATGAATGAATTGGATTAGTAGAATGGATTGTGGCATTTGTTGAAACAATTCATGTTTATTTGGAAATTTGTTAATAATTTGCTATGGAGCTGTCATGGCTCTCTTCAAAGTTTAAAATTATTCTACTGTGATTTAAGGAGGGAAGTAATCGAAAGAACGTATACTGAAATGATACTCACCTCATGTCTTAAACGTTTAATGTTTTCTCCACCTATCCCGATTATTGCTCCAGCATCCTGAGTAGAATTTTTAAATTTATTATCATTATTAAATCATTATAGTGATTATATTATATATTCTTCTATATTGCTAATAAGATCAGATTAGATTGGTTGCTAATTATTTAATTAGTAAAGAAAAAAAAGTCTAGTCGGCTGGTGTTAAAACTTAAATGTTATTAATTAATAATTAATTAATTAAAAAGATTAGACAATGGACACATCACAGATTGATTGATGTTGAAGGTTTGATAAATAAAAAAACATGAACACACATATAACATATTTATTATTAGAATAGAGAATGATAGTAATAATAAAATTAATAAATTTTGAAATTTAATAAATAAATAATAAGTAATAATTAAATAATAAATTTTCTAACCCTGGTGCGGATGATGAGTCGAACTTCGTGTCGATCATCGAATTTGCGCTTCAAACCTCGTCTGTCCTCATTACTTGGACTTCGCGACCGCTTATCTCCTGAAAATTCGACAAAATTTATCAATTTGAAATTTCAAAAATAAATTCTGACAAAACTAATAGTTACTTGAATTAGTGTTATCGTCCGACATTTCTTTCAAACAATTCGGTACGGGAACGCAATAAACAAAGCGGCGATATAAGAGATATCAATGGCGAATAATGTTCAACCAAAGAATGTTAGTTTATATAATAAAGCAAAATTTGTTAAAAGATATTTTTTATTAAAGATATTGAATAATTAGGTTAAATAAATATTAGAAAAATTATATATTTAAAAATCCATATATTTAAAATAATTTTTAGTATAAATATGCCACGTTAAGAAAAAAATTGTTAACTGGAAATTTTTAAAAACTTCATTTCGTCGCTCACCGCCATCTTTTCCAACCGTGCCGATACGGTAATTATTTTGCGGTGGTAGAATATTTCACTTAAAAAAAAATTCATTAAAAATGGCAGATAATTCAAGTAAGTTTTGCCTGCCGAATTTGTTTTGAATGGGCAAGTCAAATTTTCCGATTTTCTAATTAATTTTCCAGGGAACAGATCTCGGAGTCGCAGCAATGAAAATCGAAGAGGTGGTAATGGTAATGCCATCAATGGCAATAGAAAGTTTGACGGAGGGGAGCGTACCGAATTACGGATTATAATCCGTGCAAAAGTATGAATAACTTAGTCTTTTCTACTAAACTTAACTAAATTTCTGTTCAGCTTCACACATAAGACAAATTGATTTTTTTTTTAATTTTAAAACACAATTTTATTATTCAAATAAATAATTAAGCTTTAAAAACAAAAGTCTCATACTTTTGTTGGGTTTTTCTATTTTCATGTTAATTAATATATTTTTATTTTATTTTGCATTTATTTAAAACTGCTTCTTGTTTTATTCATAACAAGGATGCCGGAGCTGTTATTGGCAAAGGTGGAGAAAATGTGAAGCGCTTAAGACAAGAGGTATTAAATATATATTCTAAGATGTCATTCTTTTCTGGATAATTTTTTAAAAAAATTGGTAGTTTTTTCATTTGGATTATTAATTGATTAAAAATTGAGCCTTGAAGATCGCTAGCTAAATATAAAAAATTCAGAGTAACTTTCACTTAACAACCCATTAAAATTCTGATCACTCAATTAATTGTCGCTCACTAACCGACCAAAACATCGTCCATGTCATTCCATTCATTCATGCCACCACTGAATTATGATGACACTACATAATTAATTATTTGTCTCCTCTTGCATGCCTCCTTCGACCTTGATGATCAACCTTATTATGCCTTGCCCCTAACCAATCATGACCAATAAAATTTGCCTTGGACCCCTCTCAATCAATCAATCAAACAATGAACTTCCGCATCACCACATATTGCTCTGATAGTATAAAGCCAGCATTACTGTTACTGACAGCAGAACTCCTGAACGGTATGCCCAAAATAGAGTTTCACTTTGTAGTGACTTTCTCGTCTTTTTTCAATTCAATTTTTTGTTTTTATTTTATAGTTGATTGTAAATATGCATATGTCTAACTAAGTTTTATTTTTCAGTTTAGGCTAAGTTTAGATAAGTTTCTGAATGCTTAACTCACTTTATCATGAAGTGAATAGTTTTAAGGAACTCTTGTAAGCTCTTCCTACATGTCATTTAGTTATGAGCAGATTCAGGGAATGCATATAATTATTTAAAGTTATGTTTGCATTTATGCATCAAATTAATTTTCAAATCATGCAAACTCTCTTTGGAAGAAATTGTTATTTTATTTATATGGTCTGATGGTATGGAATGTTTTTTGAATTATCAGATTGATTATAATAAATGCTGATGAAGAGGGCTTGATAGGAATCGTTACAGATGTTGGAAAGGCTCTGTTTGAGGTATTGTAACATGACAACTTACCTATTTATTTTCAGTAGTCAGTCAATTTTTTATATTTGGTGTAAAAATTTTTTATCACTCTTAGATAAATTTTGATTTGACATTTAGCATAACATCGTTAATAAATTTTAATGACCAAAATCATTCACGCAAATAGAATGCAAAAGAGCGATCGCGGAATGATTTAGATGACCTTGTGCTCAAGTTTCTCATACACAACAGCCAGGCTGGTTGTGTGATTGGCAAAGCAGCTTCTAAACTGAAGGAGTTGAAGCAGGAACTGAAAGTAGACCTTAAGGTGTTCCCTGATTGTTGTCCAAGATCGTCAGAGAGATTGATCAGAGTCACAGGGAAGCCAGATCTCATAGCAAAGGCCATGGTTCACATATTGTTCATGTTGAAGAATGTTAGTTCGTACACTGGCTTTTGTCATTTTTTTTGTTTTGCATAATTTTTCCACTGTTATGTTTGTTTATTCTGACAAGATTATGTCAGTTGTGGTATTTTAACTTTGACCATCTTTCGTTTTTGTTTCACTGCTAGAACTTAATTTGATAAATTGTTCTCAATATTTCTGAAGACAACAATTTTGAATTTTTGCAGTTGAAATTAATCATTTTTTGCAGAACTTTCAAATATATATATATATATATATATATATATATATATATATATATATATATGTATATATATATTTTAATTTAGTAGTTGTGGACTGTACCTTGTTTATCTGTTCCAGCATTATTGCAGAATAATGTTCTGTCATCATTTTTAGTCATTTAGTCTTTATATAAATGAACAACCAATCACAAACAACCAATGAACAACCAATCATATTCAAGTGGCCTCCCAAAGGACTAATTGACTACTATGACCCATCCAACTGCGACGAATCCATGATTGGTGAGTATGGTGGCTATGGCATGGATGATGATGATGATGATGACAGACAGAGAGGTGGCAGAAGGTTCCAGAGGGACAGGAATGGTGGAGGCAGAAGAGATAGGTTTGTTGGTTTTTTTTTTTCATTTCATTGGAAATTATGTTTTTTTGTTTTGTTTTTAGCTTTTTATTTGACTATTTATACATTCAGTTACCTTTTTTTGTTATATTATCATATATTTTCGTTTTACTGTTTGTTCTGTGCAAGCTCATTTAGTTTTGTTATCAGTGGGAATGCAATGTATGAACAAAATAAATGAAATAAATCTCTATTGCAAATGTCATGTTTACTAACACTCCATTACAGTTACAGTGACAGAGGAAGAGACAGAGATATAGATGGCAGAAGAGGAGGAGGAGGATATGGAGGCAGAGAGAGAGGAAGGGATAGGGACAGAGACTTCAATCCTAGAGACAAGTTTGTTACTATTTGTGCCTATATGTGTGCTTTGCTTGTATTGTATGTGTTTGTTTGTTTGTTTGATGAGATGTCCACCAGCTCTTGAGTTTATGTTTTATAAGTTTGAATTGAAATTTTTTACCTTCCATTTTTGTTTTACCTTAAATTCAATGAATAAATTCGTGGCACATAGTACGTTTACTAGTTACATTTTCCTATATATAACTTGACTGAGGCATACTTTTTTTTAACGAGCTCTTCATTTTATTAAGACCTGAATATTTCAATTTTGTACAGTTACAATGGTGTAACTCAGCTATTGAACAGTGTGAGGACAACGCAGCAAGTCAGCATCCCTGCCGAGGTCAGCCAACATCTCTCTCATTTCAATCCATCTAATCATCGTCATCATTTTCATCACCATTATATACATTTTTTAATTTTATTTTCCATATTTTGTTATAGTGAAGAAATTTATCACAAATTTTGTCCACACAAATTTGCACCAGCTTGCCGGAGTGATAATAGGCAAGTCAGGGTCGAACATAAGGAGGATAAGAAATGAGACAGGGGCAGAGGTCGATCTCGATGACGCTGGTGGTGGTCAGAACGATCGTGTCATCACCATTCAAGGTACACCAGAGCAGATAGCCGGTGCCCAGTATCTTCTGCAGATGAGGTCTGCTGTCTCTTGTGTCTAGACTGTCTGTTGAGTTGTAGTAATGTAATATTGTGGTGGTGTGTTGTGAAGTTTTTTTTTCATCTTACAAAATTTGATGTTAAGATTAATGTGTTTTTAATAGTTGATAGTTGCTATGTGAATATTTGTTCTTATAGTAATGATTAGTTTTCCATTGTGGTTTAGTTCTTATTTATAATTCTTTATATATTTAATATTCATTTGTAACTCCCGATTTCAAATGTGTTTTTTTTTCAAGACGTTTTTAAATTTATGGCGTAATTAATTTACAGCGTGAAACAACATCTTGCCAAGAATTCGTGAAGGAAGAAAGAAAAAAGGAAGGATTGGTTGTCGTTTGTTGTAGGTAGAAAGATAATATATGGTGCCATGTGCTAACATGTCACTGTTCGTTCGTTTGATTGACATGTTTATCATTAACCTCCACGGCCTCCTATTCTCCCGCCACATTCTATTTATATATCTCTTGTCATTATCGTCATCATTGTCGTCATCGTCATCTTCACTGTATCATTTTGTTTTTATTATTATTGATATTATTATTATTATTCCTTGCCCCATTTTATATTTAAAATAAGAGTCTGACGGCTTTTTTATGACTGATATATGATGTATATTGTAAATCTTTGTTGACTGATTACATCTTTCATGGCCATTTGGTTTAGGAACCATTGTATATCTGTGTTGTTTTTTTTTATATAAAGAAGTATGTTTGGTATCAAAACTGACCGAGTTGCTTGAATGACGCATGGTTGTTGTTTTTAATCTTTTCAAATATTCGTATTTTAATGTAATCAAACTGCGTCAAAGAGTGAATAATATGTTTTTAATGTTTCTTCAGAGAAAAATAACATAAAATTTTGTTTCGATTAATTTGGCGATACTTGGGTAGTTATCAAGATGTGAAATTTCTTGGCCACGCATGGTTTTACGTCACTAATTTCGTATTTAAGTGCGATAGCAGGCAACATCCGAATTAATTTCAAGTTCAGAAATATTTGCTAGTTCTGCAGAATATCGTCAGTGAAATATTAATTTTAAAATTTGCGCAAGATTGTTGCTTGCCACGGAAATGCGTTCCAACATTTAAACCGCCGGGAAATGGCGTCGGCGGACTTCATTGATTGTCCTCTAATGAGTTTGCACTGTTTAATGAACGGATCAATCTCAAGCAGCACTCGACCAGCTAGTTTAGCGGCAGAAGTACGTGCAAATCTGAATGTGATGTGCAAGTCGCCTGTGTTCAAGTACGTGCCATGACGTGTTTTTTTATTTCTCGTCCGTTCAACAAGCTCCAAAAAAGCGTGTAAAATGATGCACTATAAATAGCACTTTGCTGAGAATTGTCAGTTATTACAAACTTAATTTTATTATAATTAAAAATATTTGGTCAATCAATATTCATTCTTCATACACATGACGAAAAATCAGTTAGCCCGTGTAGCAGAATCAAAAATTACCTAACGGTAAAAAAATGCTCAATCCCTCCACAACATTTTAATCAGTAAAATTACCGCCGTTATCATCATTATTATTGCCAACACTCTCGACTTTACTATTAGAAAGATGGAAATCATTATCAGAGACAGCAGCAGCAGCATCGTCGTCGTCGTCGTCAACATCAGGCAGAGAATCTTGTCTTGGTAGGATTAGGTTGAGTGGGGCCGTTGAAAGAGCTCCAATTAATTAATCTATGAAGCGCATAATCCCTTTACTGCACGTTCGATCGTGATCTGACAAGTTCTCAACATTACTACTATTACTACTACTACCTACTGCTGCAACTAGTACTATTACTACTACTACTACGACTACTGCTGCTGCTACTACTACTACTACTTTTGTTGCTGGTACTAATACTACTGTTGCTAAAGCTACTGCTATTACAGCAGACACCATTAACAAGTAGTATGAGTTCTAAATAGTATTATTGTTACTACAGCTACTACTGTAGTTATGAAAATTTTATTTTACATTATAATTAATTTTATATAATGGTGCAGTTTCACATGTGTCATTATTTCAGTTATAGTTTTTTTTAAATAAGAGTTTCATTTATATAAAACAAATTTAAAAAATATTTTTTTTCTGCTTCTTAAAATGAAAGAGAGGAGAAACTTTTTCGAAAGTTTTAATGGCTTAGCATGGTTGGGCGGGATTAAATTGTAATGAATGTGTGTATGTACGTGTGTGTTTGTATGTATGTATGTATGTGTGTGTGTGTGTGTGTGTGTGTTCTACTTGCTGATGTTTCACGTACATTCATTCATCGATTCATCTACTGAGTATCAAACTTGATGTCACCGAAACTTCCTAGGCTGTCTGTCAGCAGCGGATTGCCTGTCCTGTCTAAAAATTTGATCTGACGCGCATTATTCATTGAAACAACTAGATTGTTTTTCAAAAGACATTTATCTGGATTTTAAAATCATTTTTAGCCTCCAATTTGATAGTCACCTAAACAACAACAACAACAACACACGTTTAGACGGCATTTTCCACAAGATCGGGGGTTGCCGTTTGGCTACCTATGATGAAACCGAAATACCCCTCGACGCCATTCACATCTGTCACTCGCCTCAGTATCACGCAACCCCGCTTTCACCCTGTCCTTCTCCACCTTCTCTTTCCATCCCAATCGAGGGCGACCCCTTCCTACCACTCCTTCAACCTCGAACTCCAACGCTCGCCTAATCCCGACCCTTTCATCCCTTCTCAACACATGTCCATACCACCGCAATCTCGATCTCCTTATCAATGTCACAATGTCCTCATTCAGTCCCATCATTGACATCAGCTCTGTCCTACTCCTCCTATCCTTCACTTTAACCCCACACATCATCCTCACCATAGCTCTTTCAGCCCTCTGCAGTACACTTTCCTCCTCTCTCCTCAACACCCAAGTTTGACCACCATATACCATCGCTGCTCTCACACATGCTTTATATACCCTCCCTTTCATCTTCACTGACCATTTCTTTCCACACAATACCCCACCCAGTTCCCTAAATTTCATCCATCCTACACGAACTCTAGCCGTAACTGTGCTCAAACATCCTCCATCCGCATTCAGCTTATCCCCTAAGTAAACAAAGCTTTCCACTCTTTCAATACCACCACTCAACCCCGTCCTTGCGTCCGTCCTATTAATCACACCATGAACACATTTCTTACATTTGAACGTGCCTTCCACCTTTTTCAGTGCCCCCCTCACACCACTACATCTCTTATGCACCCATTTCTGACATCCTATACACAGTACCGAGTTAGCCTTCACTCTCTTGTCACATACCCCACAGGGGTCTATTTTACTTATCACTCGCTCCCCACCTTCCCCACTCACCATTACCTTCGTCTTAACAATATTAATTTTTAACCCTTTCTTTTCAATAACACTTTTCCATCTGTCAAATTTTAACTGCAATTCTTCCATGTTATCAGCCATCAAGACTAAATCATCTGCATACAAAATCTCAAATAACAACCCCTCCATTATGTTTCCACACACAACATCCATCACAATTGCAAACAGAAACGGTGATAACACTGATCCTTGATGCACTCCTACCTTAACACTAAAAGCGTCCGACATCCCCCTTCCAACCCTCACCTTTGTCTTTGCCCCTTCATACAGCTGCATCACAGCTTTAACAAGTCTCTCATTCACTCCTTTCTTCCTCAACGCCCATTCAATGACCTTCCTCGGTACTCGATCAAAAGCCTTTTCTAGATCCACAAAACACATGTACAATCTTCGTTTCTTCTTTCTATAATTCTCCTGCAACATTCTCACCATGAACAACGCATCCACCTTTCCCCTACCAGGCATAAACCCACACTGCATTTCATTAACTGTCACCATACTTCTCAACCTCCTCTCAAGCACCCTCTCCACTATCTTCATTCCGTGCTCTAGTAATTTCACACCCCTATATGACCCACAATCTCTCACATCTCCTTTGCCCTTATACAACGGCACCAACACACTATGTCGCCAATCCTCAGGTATACCTTCATCAAACATACTGTTAGCAATTCTCATCATAACTTCAATTCCTATCACCCCACTCGCTTTTATATGTTCTGCCGCCACTTCCGAAACCCCTGTCGCCTTACCTAGTTTCATTTCTCTAACTGCTTTCTCTACTTTCTCCATCGTCACCTTCTCTATAGGTCCGTGTGTGACCGCGGATTCCACATCTCCATCCCACTCATTCTCTTCATTCATCAACCTTTCCATATGAGCTTTCCACACCTGAGCTTTTTCCTCCTCATCTATGCACAACTTGCCAGATCCATCCCAAACACATCCATTCCCTATAACATCTTTCCTATCCCTCATTGACTGCTTTGCTACTTTGAACAT